TATTGTAGCTTTTAAACCAGTGTGTTACCAACATGAACTGGTCCCTACCGTTGAACGAGACGCAGGTGGGGTACTGCCTTCAGACGTCTTATCACCATAGATGCTCTGATACAGATAGAACTGGATTGTTCTTTCAAGCAGGCAAAGTCAAGGGTATTGGCCTTGAAAATTTCCAACGAATATTCATTACACAAATGACTACGAGACAGTGGACGGCTTATGGTCAGAAATTCAAGATTTCGAGAGCAGTGTTTTAGACGAGGCACCAAAGGGAATGCAGGACGGTTGGGCGATATCTTGGATGCGTTTCTACGCTTTACAGAAAAACCTCGGCACCAGTACCATCTCCTCGCTCGGTGTCTCCCTCGCCATTGCATTCGTAGTGATGTTATTGACCTCTTTGAACTGGGTTGTAAGCGTATATGCCATAGTGACCATCATATGCACCCTCGCCACGACAATCGGCTCGCTTGTCCTAGACGGCTGGGAACTGAATATTCTCGAATCCATTGTGATGTCTGTGGCCGTCGGTTTGTCCGTCGATTTCACGTTGCATTATGGGGTGGCATACAACGTTTCGTCAGAAAAGGGAAGAGTGGACCAAGTCAAGTCCGCCCTCGGTCATATAGGACCAGCGGTTACATTGGCCGCAATAACAACGTTTATTGCAGGTAAGCACTAGGGGAGGGGTGACGGTCTACTCGAGGGGAACGTATACACGCGGGGAAAACTCTGTGTTGAAAAGCAGGAATAACTAAATTTTGAACAAGACTTCTTGCCATTGAGAATTTGTTAATTTTTTGCGTAAACACGAACGAATGGGGTTTAAATGGGGTTTAAAAGGCCCATTTACACCATGAGATTTGTCGTATACGGTTCTTACCCTGGCGTATGTGAACGTGTGAACACACGTACAAACATGACACTTTAAATTCAACCCTGAGCAGAATTGAATGAATATTGTGGCATAGGCCCCCTTTTGCATTCGTCAGAATGATAATTGCATACAACTTATCGTGTATAGTTTGAATAGGCCTTTAGAAAATCAGTAATTCACCAATAAACCAGCCCTTTTTTCTTCTCCAGGCGTATTTATGATGTTCTCAACAGTTCTGGCGTATTTTCAACTTGGTCAATTTCTAACATTGGTCATGGCGATAAGCTGGCTGTTTGCCACTTTCTTTTTCATGTCCTTGTGTTATTTTGCCGGGCCTGTCGGACATTTTGGACAAATTAACTCGAAAAAATGTACATCGTGCAAGGTATACGTGCGTTAGATATTATAGTCATATTATAGTCAATTTTACGGTTGCTAAATGATTTTGAGGTTTGAAATTCGTTTCAGCAATGCACCAATCGTAATCAGTATGCAAGCATGAATTCTATCCAAGTTTAGCGACAGAGATCAGGTTTAAGTATTATATACAAAGGTTTACGTCTTTTATTCTCCCTTGGCTTTTGAGCTTTGCATTTGCAAGAATATGAACTAAATTTTCTGTTGTTGACGTCGTTGAAAAGTTTCGATCTGAACTAGCCGCTTGGATGAATGAGAAAAGACCGGTCTATAATTGTTTCTTACCAGTGCGGTTCATTTTTTAATGTTCTATAGGTCCCTAACGGAGGTTAACCCCAGAAGCTCGAGTGTAACATGAAGTATATCAGGAAGCAATTCGGGAAAATCGGGACGTAACTATAGGTTTGTATACCGGTGAACTCTAACACAACTGGAGCGATTTCCGGTAAGAGAAATATGCGTGATATGGAAGCAATGGTTTTAGAAATGTAGAAATTTGATGAATTTAGATGGACTTCTGTATAATGTTGTATATTTTGATGTAAATAGGGTATTATCCTTTTTGATTTGATGTATGTATAATTCTGCACAATTTGAATCAAATTAAACCGCACACAAGCAACAATGGCATTTTAAGTAGCCATTCGTGGTCTTGTGTTTATGTAACGGGTTTTTTTTGCCTTCATGGTAAAAATACTTGACGTGTTTCGAGGCTCTTGAGAAAGGTCCTTCTTCAATTCCAATGAAATTTGAAAAGCTGTTGTTTCCGAGAACGTTTAAGATGAACAGTGGAAGGAAAATTGCCACATAGCACGCTGGAATTTTTCATGTGCATTTGGAAACTTTCATTGAGGCTTTTGAATAGACTCTGCATGGTTCCTGAACGGCTGGAGAACTATTTCGGTATTTGAAATATCGTATATGATAAGTAAATGCGCTTTAAAACCACTGTATTAAAACTCCTGTAAGTTAAAAGGCCTTATTTTTGCTCAAAATCTAGCGGGAATGATATTATTCTGCCCTTTTTGACCCGAAGTTCAGTGGCGTTTTGATTTTGCTAAAAGGATATATTTGACTATCATCTAATTCGATGTAATCTAAATAACATCGCTGTTGGGAATCTTTGTTTGAAAGAAAGTCTCTTTCTTTTCGAAATTCTATTATTGAACATAGCCAATTGTGCGCCAGCCAAGCATAGCATTTATACTGTAGTGTGTGGATAATAAAGCCTCAAGAAAAAACAAGTGGCATATAAATCCACGCAGGCTGATCTTTGCGATCATATATTTGTTTTTTTTTAAAAATGCTAAGTTGTTTGTCGTTATTCTTGGTGATAACGAAACGTCTGATATTCTGGATGGGTTGTTTTGTGTTGCTTTCCATGGACATTCGTGATGTGGAGACCGCTTTATTTACCGAGTGTAAAGTCGATGCAGACTGCGATGGTCTTAAGAAAAATTGCTGCGGACATCCTTACTTTGTGACCGAGCAGCGAAGATGCACTAACGACTCGTGTATTCATCATTACTGTCGGATGAATAGCGATTGTGGAAACTCGTCGTTGCTGTGTTGTCGCTTAAACAAGTGCGAAAAACACGGCTGTTCTTGTGAGGACGATTCAGACTGCTTTACCGGCAGTTTCTGCTGTATAGAAAGCTTATTTTCAAACCATTCCGTCTGCGCTGCGAGCTGTGTTGGCCAACCTTGCCGTTCAAACGACGACTGTGCCAAAAGCGAGTGCTGTCAGGCAGGAAGGTGCGTTTCAAGCGGTTGTTATGAAAACTGTACCTCGAATGCGGACTGTTATTTAGGCCAGTATTGTTGTCACAGGAATGAAAGTCGACGGAAATTGAGCTCGAAGTGCAGCGAAAGTTGTGTCGGAGAGATTTGTAGTTCGGATGGGGATTGTGGCTCTGCTAAGTCGTGTTGTATTTCAAACAAATGTTCTGATCGCGGTTGTCCGCAATGCTCCACAAACTCCGACTGCGACGATGGCAATGTTTGTTGCAGAAAAAGATACCCTAACGAGGCTAGCGAGTGCCGGGCAGATTGTCTTGGGAAATCGTGTAATGGGAACTCTGACTGCGGTGGAGCTGGCGAAGAGTGTAACTCCGAAAATAAGTGTTCAAAACCCGGCCAAGACTCATCTTTTGAGACATGGCGAATCATTTTGCTACTTCCGGCTTTGATTATATTCATATTAGCTTGTTGTCATTTATCAAGAAAGAGACAGAGGGCAAACGCCAGACGAGCTAGAGTGCACAGAGGAACTGTGCCCATGTAAGATGCCTCTATAGTGTACCTGGGTGTAGCAAATGCGATTGCTCAATTCTACTGAAAATTAGCAATCTCCTCTTGCCGCTAATCCAAACATGATTACCACAGACGCTCGTTCACGTGATGCCGTGGCTACGAAACTCCACCGACAAACAAAATATTGTAGTTGTGTTTATACACAACGCTGCTAGAATGTCGTTTTGTTTGAGTTTGAGATATTTAACGTCAACTGTTTCGACTACAGAAACAAACCCTTAGTACTTACACCGTTAGATCATCACAAACGGCATTCATGCAGTCAGAGCACTGTTAACTGTTTGCAAAACCTCTACTTCAGTTGGCATTCCGGCTGTTGGCGTTCCTTGCGCCCGGTCAAACGAGACTACGAGTGTCATGATGTACGTTAGCAAACAAGAGTTTGAATGCATGGGTTTGCATGAAGGCTCGACAACCTCTACATGCAGTTGTCATTCCGCCTGTTCATGAGACAAACCTCTTTCGTTACTGGATCAAACGAAACACACAAGAGTTGAATGCGAGTTGATAAGAGTCTATACCAGGAATTGACCGATCTAACTGTTTTGTTTGGTCCGTTTAAAAGTTGTGAGCTATTCAATTAGCAAACTTCAACAAGTCTCATAAAACTCTCACGGCTCAAAGAGCAAAAACCCTGGACCTGATTGACTTCAAAGCTTGATAATATTCAAACATCGCTCTCTCATATGACTGGGTCTTTATAGTGTTATCATATCGGTCCATGTTCTGGTATACTGAGAACACAAGTCCAAAACGTAAGAGATAACTAAGGACTGCTTTCCACTGTTGCGTTTTTGGCACGTACGTACTCGCACGTAAAAGTTTAAAACCTTTTAAGTTGTTGTGTAAATAATTTTATGCCAGAAAAAGGCACCATCAAATCATCAACAGAATCCAACCCTATACATCTATTCAATCGTTGATTTCATAAGTATCATTTAAATGCTTTTAAACTTTTACATACTTAGCTATACGTGCAAAAAACGCGACGGTGGAAAACATCCCTAATTCTGCTTGCATTAGCTACGTGAGCGATCACAAACCTTAACAACCTATAAAATAACATTCCGATATATTCCTTTTCTGTATATACACCGTGTTTCCTTGATCAAACTTGACATTTCATGATCTTATATTCTATGCAGAATTTCCATAAAAATCAATAATGCAACCTGGAATAAAATATTGTATTCTTTTATGAGGCAACTGATCAACTTATTGTGTCAGTGCACATGGTACTGGTGGTCATACGACAGGTGTAGCTTTCTGCTAGCCTGTCACATTGCTTGAATTGTTTTAAAACACGATTCGAGGACGCTTTAATGCCAATTGCATGAAATACGGTGCGATAGAGGCTGTTTTCAAGCGAAAAAATAGCGGGTTTTGGGAAGAAGAAGTCGGCGTAGTTTTTCCTTAATTTTTAGTTTAGGTTTTTTGTTTGTCTTTGTTTTGTTTGTAACTGCTCTCGCCAAGTTTGCTTTGGATAATTATGAAAATGATCTGTTGATGCAGAAGAAGAAACGTTTTATGATGGGGAAGTAAGTGAGCTATTGATCTAGTCGATAGACTGTCTTGTTCGCATTTTGATCCTTTAGCTCTGCCAAGACTGTCGCATGCATGCGTATTGCTGAGAACAGAATTTGGAAACAAATTGTTAACTGTCATATCTTCTCAAGAAATTTGAGTAGCATTCTTATATATATTTGAAGTTTTCTTCAACAGTCGATTTTCAAAGATATTTTGATTCAATTCAAAAAGGCTTTGTTTGGGAAGAACATAAACGAGCTTCATCACACTGCGAAAGACTGGATAGTTCATGGTCTGTAGCACAATGTCAATCGTATACGAACCTCCAGGCCTTTTCAGACACCACTTCCTGTCTCGTATCCCCTTCAAAATCCCAGAGTGTTGGTTTTGAATGAAACCACAACTAACTCTTTTCTTAGATGTGCTCTTTGCATCGTCTGACACGGGTTTTACAGCCATAGCTCTTGTTGTGAACCAAATTGTACTGTGTCGTCTTTACACTTGAGTTCCAAGGAAAGCCAAAGTTTATCAAGATATTTTTTTATTCCAGCATGGCGTCAGGGACGTCAACCAAACGTTATAAATACAACCACGCTGCGGTAGCCACAGACCACGTTGAGTGTTCCAGAATCGGTCGAAATATTTTACACCACGGAGGATCGGCTGTGGATTCGGCCATCGCCGCCATGCTGTGTCTGGGTGTGGTGCACCCCCACTCCACTGGAATAGGTGGGGGAGGGTTCATGCTGGTTTATCACAGGTATACAAGGTTCTCGGAAGTGATAGATTTCAGAGAAAACGCACCGTTACTTGCGGACAAGAATATGTTTCACGGAGACCTGACAAAGGCTATTATGGGTATGTGCATGATATATTTTGTATCGTCAGTTCTTCCACTCAGTAAGTTTGAGTGTGAACGAGCTTTTAGAATACCGGTGATAGACATCGTACTAATTAACCAATACTTAGCATCAAATGTGGTATAACAACTGCCTAAATAGACACAACACTTCTCGACGTTTCGACCTGAGGGCCTTCGTCAGGATCATACTAACTCTCCTGACGAAGGCCCTCAGGTCAAAACGTCGAGAAGTGTTTTGTCAATTTTAGGCAGTTGTTATACCACATTTGATGCTAAGTTGTTAGAAGACGCTGCTACGTTGCTCCCTGGTTATATTTAACCAATAAACCTCCAATTCCCAGGGGGCCTTGCTGTAGGTGTTCCAGGCGAATTAAAGGGCATGGAAGAAGCTTGGAAGAAATACGGAAAACTTCCTTGGAAAAAACTGTTTGAGCCTGCTATACAATTAGCTGAGAAAGGCGTCAATGTTTCCAAATCTCTTGCCATAGCGCTGGAGGTTTGGAACTTCCATGTACTCAAGGATAAAAGTTTAAAGTAAGCCAAATAAATTAACTTTATTATTTTCAATATTCCCCTAACTGGATTACAAAGTTTACATTTTGTCGTAATACTCCTGTGTCAAGAAAGCTCACTCATGCAGACTCATTGAGTGTGACATAATTATTTCGTTAATACTGGGCAATGAGAAAGCTAGTTCTTTCATAATCGATGACAAATTTAAGGTAAAACACTGAAAATCAAGCTGTTATTCGACTGGAAATACCTCCATGGAAACGTTATGGGGTTAAGATCTCACACTCAATGCGAGTTTGAGCGTGAATGAGCTTTTAGGGCCTGTTTACATGGAGCGAGTTATCCCGGCTATGCGAGGTAAGAAGCGCATCACATCAAAGGCTTAACCTGATTAATCTTTCATTATATGCAGTTTTCACCTCGTTTAGCCGAGATAACTCGCTCCATGTAAACAGGCCCTTAGAATACAGGCGATAGTCTCATGTCAAGGTGGTCGATGTAATTGAATATTTCTATGTGTGTCCAGTCAACAATGAGCGATTTGAATACAGAAATTGAAGAAAATTTTGCATCCGGACTCTTTCTCATCGGTGAAAATGACTTGTTCATGACGAGTACAAAAAAAATGGAAACCAGGCTTAAGGCATGAATGATAAGTAGTTGATGGATGTTCAATGTTATTTTCAATCCTCCAGGGAGATCTTCGCTTACAACGGCCGCGTTCTTAAGGCCGGGGAAACCTTGAGGCGCCCAACATATGCTAGAACGCTGAGACTCATTGCTGAAGCTGGAAACGCTAATGAAGTTTATGGAGGAAGATTTGGTCAACAGATGGTGAACGATATCAACGCACATGGTGGTCGCTTCTCGATAGATGATCTAAAGAATTATAAAGTGAGATTTCGAGACACCATTGAACAGTCGTTTGGAAAGGGAAAACTGCTGACATCGCCTCCTCCCACGAGCGGCCCGGTGCTGTCATTGGTGTTGAATATTTTGAAAGGTGAGATGGGGTAGATAGCATGGGTTTGTAAGGGATGATGAGGGTATACGTTTGAGAGGGATGTGAGAGGGTAGAGATGAGTTAGGGGGTATACGTTTGAGAGGGATCTGGGAGGGTAGAGATGAGTTAGAGGGTATACGTTTGAGAGGGATGTGAGAGGGTAGAGATGAGTTATAGGGTATACATTTGAGAGGGATGTGAGAGGGTAGAGATGAGTTATAGGGTATGCGTTTGAGAGGAATGTGAGAGGGTAGAGATGAGTTAGAGGGTATACGTTTCAGAGGGATGTGAGAGGGTCGAGATGAAATTGGGGTATAGGTCTAATGTGTTGTGTGGTGCATTATACTAAACTTATACATCAATCATATACTTTTTTAGGTTACAATTTCACCAACAATGATTTTGAAAATAACACAGCGTTGACATATCATAGAATAATCGAGGCATTTCAAATGGCTTATGCGAGACGTTACAAGCTGGGCGACCCGGATTACGAGCACTCTGTTAAAGAAGTGAGTAAAATTTCGCCTAAATTAACACATGTCTTGCTCAGTTTTGTGCAGTTCTGTCCGTTCGTGTTTCTGAAATACTGTTTCTTCATCGTTCTAGGTCGTGAAGCAGATGCTCGACCAGAAATTCGCGGATAAATTACGCACTAAAATATCGGACAAAAAGACGTTTTCTTCGCTGTATTACGACGGTGCTAGTTATGACGTCCCGGTTAAAACAGGCACAACACATCTTGTTGTTGTAGCTGAAAATGGCGATACAGTTTCTGTCACAAGCACCGTTAATGGATTGTAAGTAAAACTAAAAGCAAGTCGCCTGAATGACAAATATACCCTTAAACTTTGCCAACCTCTTGTGTCGTAATAAATGAAATGTTCTCCGTAAGTTATGTAGTTGTATTTTCTTTCACTATTAGTCTTGGTGCAAAGTTTCGATCCCCAATACTTGGTCTTATCTACAACAACGAAATGGACGATTTTAGTTCGCCTGGTATGGTTAATGAATTCGGCCTGAAGCCTGCGCCCGTGAACTTCATCCAACCTGGCAAGCGGCCGCAGTCCTCCAGCGCTCCGGTCATCATTCTCGATGAGAAAGGTGACGTGGATATCGTCTTGGGGGCTTCTGGCGGCACAGTCATTACGACTGCAGTTGCTCAGGTATGCGGTTTTACATTACATGTACTGTCATTTGAATTTTATCGTGTGAAATGTTTCAACTATGGGCTGGTTGTTCAAACCTTGATAATCGCTATACCTTTGTAAACGGAACCTCTTGGTTCTGGTCTGACATGAAGAATGTTTTCGATTGGTTTTATAAAACAAAAGTGATGAGAGTGTATATGATTTGTTCTACTGGCACTCAATTTCTATAGTTTGTCTTAATTTCCGTTGTTTTCAGAACCAACCAACTAAAATTCCATCTTAAAATTATTTATTTACATACGTAGGTTTAAGAACGTATTCTGATTTCTGAACTTTTTTTTGCGTTTCCTTAGACTTTGGTGAACTATCTTTGGTTCAAGAAGGATGTTCACGACTCCATATCAATGCCAAGGTTGCATCATCAGCTGTATCCAGAATTTCTTTTTGCCGAAACTCAATTTCCAATCACCGTCCTTCATGAGCTGGAGAAATATGGACACAAGGTTAGTTAAGAAACGAATCGCCTCTTAACTCTATGGCTCTGGTCAATTAACACTGTGATGATGCCTCACTCTGAGCGGTAACCCGCGGGCAAAGTGAAGGAAATGAAGTGAAGTGAAGGAAGGGACTAGCGGATTGAGTTCCCAAATATATCAAATACTCGAAACGTCTTGATTTCAAGTCTACAAATCACATCCCTGAACCCGTCTCCTCACGAGATGAAATTTGAAAAATAGAGATAAATATATTTTGGTCTAGTGAAAGAATTAAACTATAAATGGGATCACTTTTCCTTTGGATTTTGCCCACAATTGATGAGCACTTTATACCTGCATATTTCGCTACCACGATGTTTTGTATTTTCTAGATTAACATAACAGACAAAAGTCACGGTGTTGTGCAGGGGATAGCAAGGATGTATCGTGGGATACACGAGGGTAAGAGGGAACATACGCAACATAAGGCGTTATTTATGGCCGAATCGGACTTCAGGAAAGGCGGGAGGCCTTCTGGGTATTAAAATTTCCTCGCTAGTTCATCCAATTCACTCGCGTTTATACTTTATAATGCTTGGTTACCTTTTTACATTTCAAGTAAAGAGCGAACGCTAATTTAGCGACAAAAATAAAATAGACAACACGTTATAAATTTCTCTTCTCTATTAAAATAAAAATCTATTAAAATTTAAAATTACTTTTTTGTACATTCTGTAATATAAGTTTGCGTTCATAATATGAAACTTCTAATTCTTTAATCAAATTCATCTCACTATATATTTCTGTCTAAATATCGTTGTGATGAAATACCTATACATATATATATAGTATAGTAACAGTAACTATTTGAATAAAACATATATTTTGTTATTCATAAAAATATGAAATTAAACGTAATGGTATAAAATTAATACTATAAATCATGATATTTTCAAGTCCGTTTTCCGCAGCTAGGCGACTTTATTTGCGCGACTTTGCGGCGAATTTTTTTCGCAAAGCAATCCTGTCACCGTATTTCAATTTCGCTTCGTGCGAATGAATTCGCCTGGTGAAGAACGGGCTTTAAATTCATGTCAATGGCTAGTTTAATATCAAACTGAACGTTTGGGAAGTATCATGCATGGTATATCTCTTGCAAGGAAATCTTCAGAATATAACGTTAAAAGACCCGCAAATTTACTAGAAACTATATCAGCAAATGTTATTTATGTTAGTGGTTCGTTCAGGATTTTAATTTTGGTGCCGCAAAAAGTAATCCATATTTTTCCCCGTATTCAAATGCCCCTCGTAAGCCTCAATCCACAAACGTCCCTTCATGAATACTTGATACAACGTGTTCTCGCTCGTCCATGCGTTCGGCACGAAATGGCATATCGAAACTAAACCACTTGGATCATCCAGCGTATGAAATTGCAAGCTGTTGTAGGGTAATGGCGAGCCGTCGATGTGTCGTAAAAACGTCGGAGATTCGCACAATAACACTGGACACGCATGAGGAAAATCGTTGCTCAATGTAATAGCTAACGTGTAATTTTTGTTACTGTTGCTTATCATTTGGACTTGAACCTTTGTTTGGCCGTTCACGTTTAACCATCTCACACGATTTCGAAAATATTGTGCCAGAATTCCCTTCTCTTGTTGAAGACGGCGGAGCTGATAGTTCGACCAAGACATGTTTGTTTGTTATTTCAACTCGCGAGTGCTTTGCAGAGTTGTATTTTCTGCTTCTATCTTCGCCCTAAGCGATCTTGTTGTGTGGAGGTGTAACAATATTTATTTAAAACGCCGGTTTATTGGCACAAGATACATGGCCGTGATTGGTCAAATGCTCATATTCCGGGGGGAGAAGGCTAGAAATGCAACTGTGTCTGTTATTTTTCCGACCATTGTGCTCCTGTCTCGGTAAAATTTAAATGCTACAGTAAAATATGTTTTTAATTTAACGAAATGTGTTAAGAAATGTCCCCTTCTAAGTCAACGACACAGCGTTAAAAGTTAAAATGAAAATATTGCTTTCTGACATGAGATTTCCACGAACTGTATATTACTTTTCTTGGAAGAGGAAATCAAAAGTAAGAAACATGAAAGAATGTCTGACCTCTTGACCTGATCAAATTTTTTACATATAGTGCCAGTCTCCATGGTTTTCAGATGCGCGCTTTGCATGCATTGCACCCCAATATTTCGTGTCTTCTACACACTGAGTTTGATTTTTACCAATAATAATATAAAATCATAGCTTGTTTAGCGATATTCTTCGAAACAACTTGAGTTAAGTAGTAAATAATGGGAAATAAACCTTGGAGAGTTGTCAATGATTGCGGTCATCGTTTTGAGTAATATGAATACACAAACATTTATTTAAACAAATAACAGCATACAGCTAATGTGATCGTATAACAGACTATATATAGATAATTCACCAAGTTATAGCATTTTAAACAATAAAGATTGCTTTTCATTGCATTAAATTCACCCTAATTAAAGGTTTTAATCGTGGTTATAGATTGCTACCTTGCGATTCTGAGGGCAGCTTTTTAACTTTAACCACCGGGGAAGGTGTCTTTCAACTTTATTTTATATTAACCTATGGTGACAATATTTCAAAGTGACGAACACTCAACGCAAGTAGCAATTTGGGCTTTGCCGAGTCATGATATTTTGGACTTGCAATAATATATCCGTTTCAACATCAAAAAGATTGCATAAATGTAGGACAATATTGCTTTCAAACATATTTCATCATTTGTGCTCTGATATCATTCAGGTCTAGACACTGCTCCGTGAACAACTGATTTCATGAACAACCATACTTCAACTGCTGAACTCGTGATAAAGGATGTGGACTCACAGTTAAATGTAAGTTTCATATAGTCTAGCTCTTTCTATCCCTATAGGAATTGATGAATCATGCTGTTCATATGTGACTAAGCTGACCTCGCTTTTTTCAGTATTTGGGCTTTGTTGTCAAATCCTGATAAAACCTAAATTTCAAAATGAGTTTGACCTGTTATTTCTGCTAATGTATTTATGCCGGACCGTTTTTATGGAAATAAAACTTCTTTTGATCGTGAGAATAAGTCTCGAAAAATGTATCCAAAATTGGTATATACGCCTTCAGGGAATTTTATCATGCATAACTCAGTCGGGTTTCTTTTTATTTTTCCTTTTCCAGTTTATGGTTTAAAATTAATGCTTCGTCATTGTGGAAACATGCTTGTCTTTCATGCAGGAATTGTATCCTTCATCTTTATGTGTTTCCAAGTATTTTGTTTGTTTGAATTTACTGCCACTGCTTTCAAGAACCGAACTTGTTTTTCCAAACTTACCACGCCAAACAAACACAATATTACCTTGCTTCGGTATAAAAATGCTGTCGCGTTTCGTTGCAACAGAGCCGGAATACTCGATAGATTTCGTTCTACCTTTCAAAACAAAGAAACTCCACTCAATATAACATGGAAACGTATACGGCCAACCTTCGAGAGCACTTCAAAGTTATCTGTCGCACAATTAAAATATTGCCATGCAAATTCTTCGTGCAAAAATACTCAGGATATCGATTTCAACACAAGTGATGTAGAAATTCCGTTTCCCTTGAAAGATTCTCCTAGTAATGGAATGATGAAATGTGCCAACCAAAGAGCTGTCACTACAAAAAATATAGAATCAACTTTAACTAGATATAAAGACAGTATAGAGTTCTTTTTATTTGTCTTTGGCGTGATTTCAGGATGTTTTTACTTTGCTAGTTGTAGTAATTTCAACCTAAAATCTATCGTATTTCAGGCTTTTTTAGGCCTTTTTGGGACTGCACTTGGTTTTGCAACCTTTTGGTGGAATTTTTCAGTGCTATTTACGGCATACATAACTTTCAAAGTGATGCAAACTTGCTTTTGCAGTCTTGGGCAAATTTTCAACCTTGCTTCAATGAGTGCTCAAGCTTTGCGCGGGAAAATGAAGAACTCCTTTCCTTGTTTATTTGTCGGGATTATAAACCTTGTGTTCTTTCAAGTGGCTTTCAATTTATCGACCAACGTCTTTCTCTTCGCCTGTGTCAACAATATTGCCGTTTTAGCGGTGTGCTTTATATTATTAAACAAAGAATCTGAAAAAATGAATTCGTTTTACGGCAATGGAAGAATTGAAAGAAGCGTTTGGAGCGACAGCAGGATGAAGAATTTACGATGTCAAAACAAGTCCAGAATTTCGAATTTGGTTTCGATCCGAGGAGATGAGTCTGTTTCAATCGTTGGCTTGAGTTGTCGTTTTGCAGGAGGCGTTAATTCGAAGGATGCTTTTTGGGATCTCCTTGTCAAAGGTGGTTGCGTAATCAGTTCTTATCCCGAGAACAGACTCGAGACGTTGGCGTTAAAGCGTTTCTACAACCCCTCTCATCGCGTCCCAGGAAAGCATTATACGCTGAAAGGTGCATTTTTGGACGAAATCGCCGGATTCGACGCCCAATTTTTCGGCATTTCGCCGGCGGAGTGTCGTGCGATGGACCCCCAGCAACGACTACTGCTCCAGTGTGTTTACGAGGCCATCGGACGCTGGCTTGAGACTTGAAGACTTGCAAAATTGTACAACCGGTGTTTATGTGGGACTCATGAATTTAGACTACGGCCGGCTACTTTTGGACGATGGAAACGTACCGAATATTGACGAGTTCGCGTCAACCGGAATAACGGCGTCCACGGCAGCCAATCGGATTTCGTTCTCGCTAAATTTGAACGGTCCAAGTTTAACGGTCGACACGGCATGCTCGTCGTCGTTGACCGCCCTAAATATAGCCGTGACGCATTTGAAATTGCGCGAGTGTGACATGGCGATCGTTTGCGCGCCAAATTTGATTTTGGCGCGATATTTTCACACGGCGTGTTGTAGAACTGGACTGCTCGCCGAAGACGGACGTTGCAAGAGTTTCGACGCGAAGGGTGACGGGTACGGCCGAGGGGAAGGAATGGCTGCCGTGGTTTTGAAACCAACACGAACGGCCTTGATCGACGGAGACGATCCTTACGCTAAAATTCTTGCATGCGGTTTGAATAACGATGGACAATCTGCCATCCCCATGACAGCCCCAAGCGACGAAAAACAAGCCGACCTGGCTAGGCGAGTCCTGAAGGAGTCTGGACTCCAGAAATCCGACGTTCAATATGTGGAAACACACGGCACGGGAACGGCCGTCGGTGATGTCGTCGAGATGCGATCGGTCTCCGAAGTCTACGCGAACACTTCATCGCGCGTGCTTCGCATCGGCTCGGTGAAGTCGAATATTAATCACACGGAATCGACGGCCGGATTGGCCGGGATTATTAAGGTTTGCTTGATGATAAAGAATGGCTACTACGTCCCAACTGTGAATATACAAGAGTTGAAACCTCAGCTGAAGATAGCCCAGAGAAAAATGGTTGTGCAAACGAAGCTAGAGCCTTGGGCTGCAGTTGACGGCAAGCCCAGGACAGCGGCTGTGTGTTCCTATGGTTATGGTGGCGCGAATGCACACGCCATCGTCCAAGAGGTCCAATCAACTCGGCAAATGGGAAATTGCCCGCGAAAACGCGATGTGTGGATCTTAACGCTTTCGGCCTGTTCGCGTGAAGCTTTGAAGATGATGGCTGAAAGGTTTTCAAACTGGCTCGACACGAAAATTGATAGCGACGACAGAAACCTGATGGGCAATATTTGTTTTACTCTTAATACCAGACGTAGCGTGCACTCCCATAAACTATCTCTGACTTCTCGCTCGTTCGAGCAAGCCGCAAGCTTGTTGCAAGTCTTTGCCAAGGACGGTCCTGGCTGGCAGAAATTCATCGCCGTTAACGATAGTTCTGCGTCCTTCAAGAAGCTGGCTTTTATTTACGGCGGGCAGGGAAGCTGCTGGTATGGCATGACCAAGGAATTGATCAGAAATGAGACTGCATTCCGAGAAAGTCTGGAGGAGATTGACAAAATTCTAGCAAAATTTCTAATCCCGTGGAATCTTGTAGAGATCTTGGGTGAATGCGATAATGAGGATTTGGAAATAGAGAAAAATCCAATCGCTCAAATGGCTCTTTTTGCTGTGCATCATGGTATAACCCAGTTGCTGAAGTCCTGGGACATAACTCCGTCTGCAGTCGTTGGTCACAGTCTGGGGGAAATTTCCGCAGCATGTGCTGCGCACGTGTTCAGCCTAGAAGAAGCAGTTCAGCTGATCCTACTTCGGTCAGAACTCCACGAGAGTTGCTCAACTTCAGGAAGAATGATGGCTGTCAGGATGTCCCCAGAGGCTGCCAAAGAGTTGCTCGAGAGTTTGGACCTGGTTAGTAGAGTCAGCGTCGCTGCGGTCAACAGTCCAGTTGACGTCCTTTTGTCAGGAGATCAGAGTGCCATACAGATCATTGAAGATTATTTGCAGAGGAGTCGTTGCGAGGTCTTTCACAAGAAACTGGGAACAACACGGGCGTTTCACAGCCGTGAAATGGACTGCATCAAGGAAGCTTTTATCGCTGGAATTGATCGAATCAAACTGAGTTCAGGTAAAAAATCATGTTGTCATTTTTCCCACTTTAAAATCTTCAAATCTTTCCAATTTATCATCTCAAATTATACAATAATAATAATAATTTGCCATTTTCCGGCGAATATATGACCATGGTCGTATATTTGCCATTTTCCGGCGAATATATGACCATGGTCGTATTTTATTATTATCTCAGATTATGGTTTCGTCGTTTCTGATTTAGTGAAATCATGATTTCAAATAAAGAAATCAGTTGATCAATTTTTACTTGTGCAAAACCTTTTTCATTTGAATCAGAACTGTGTTTAAGGTTGCATATTTTGCTTCGTCGCAGACCGAGAACCTGTTATTAGTTAACGCCCAGTTGAAACGCGGACGACACGTGAAGTATGAGACCGTTCAAATCAATCTTTTCTTGTTACCAGGTGGAGCAAAGATTCCGTTCTATTCAACAGTTACTGGCACCCAGATCTCTCGCCTCACGCCTTGTCACTGGTGGAGAAATATTCGCGAACCTGCGTTGTTCAGCTCAGCTCTTGCCAACATGATAGCTGATGGATACAAGACGTTTGTTGAAGTCAATGTTGCACCACAATTTCCCCGCTACGTACAGGTATGAGTTACACCATAAGACCTCTCAATAACAGGAGCTAGCTGTGAAGCAATGGCGATGAAGACCATTAGTTTTGACCTATTTTTCTTTTGAATAAAGATCAGTCAAGTTGAACTACCTGCTTTTGGAACTTATTGACTTATTTAATCCAAAAGAAACAACCCTTCACTTGCAAACAATTTCTCTGCAAGTGGAAATCCGCGCTCAAAATAATATCAACATCGTCAGCAGTTTCATCAAAAACTCTATTCCAATATAACGTATATCTCATAAGGCTCAAACAGACTTTATTACAACGCATTTTTTTGTTTTTCAACTCAGGAAATCGCTTCTCATTTTCGAACGGAAAAGTCCACGGAGCAAGCGGCAGTAACTGTTATCGAAACCTTGCCAAAAAGATCTGAAAAGGATCGTTATCTGTCGTTTCTTCGTTGTTGCCCAGCGACGCTTTACACCCGAGGATATCCGATGTCGTGGGACAAGATCCAGGGATCTGGAACCAAGGAGTTCATCCGTTGTCCGAGCTATCCTTGGCAAGAACGAAAGTACTGGTACAGAGAATGCCAACCAGCCGAGCACGTTGGACCGCTGATTGGCGAAACCAATTTACCTGTTACCCAGAATGCACCTGAAAACTCAGAAGGTGGGACTACCAACTTTAGTTCAGGTTCAACTCATCCCCTTCTAGGAAAAGCTGTTGCAACCGAAGCTTACTCGGGACTGCTCGCCTGGGCTTCGGAAATCGACGTGTTCACTGTCGCTTACCTCAAAGATCATCGATTTCAAAGTTCGGAGGAAGCCGTAATTCCGGGTGCAGTTTACGTCGAAATGGGTCTGGCACTAGCCTTACATATGTTCCCGGATGTTCAACCACATCTACATGAAGTTACGTTCGAGAATCTCCTAACGCTTTCCACCAATGATGTTGTACGATTTTGTACTCGTTTGAACCCGACAGGGAAGCCTGGCACGAGGCATGGTTACCAGATAACGACCGCCGAGGGAAATGGGAACGAAGTTCTGGTGTGCAAAGGATCAGTTTCGTTTGATAAAGTCGCTCACAATTGCAGAGAAGGTAAGAATTCAATCTTTGATCATAGATAGAAGCTTTTAAATTGGTAGGAACTTTGATTAGATCTTCTCCTGTGACCCTAAGAGATCCTTCCCGTTTCATGAGGAAGAATTTGTAAATTTTTAATAATGAAAAGATCATGCATAGGCATTCCTCTTTTTAAGTATTAAAAATAACTTTGTTTTTCATAGCTTGTGGGAATTCAAATTTTACGAGAATCACCAGCATAATCTCACGTCTCTCGAAGCAACCTTTGGAGATTTTCAACTCAGAACGAGTGAAAAGGCGCTTTGATTATGGTCCTCAATTTACCTTAATTACGGAGACGTGGTGCTCTGAAACAGAAGCACTGTGTACCATTGTCCTCACGGAGGAAATACGTTCATCTCTTGCTGTTTACGTTTGTCATCCAGCGATTATCGACGCCTGTTTTCAAAGTCTCTTTTTACTAAAAAACTCTGTGGAGAAGCCAGTCCCTTATGGCGCGGCGGACATCAAGATCTACCACAGCAATATCACTGACGTCATGTACTGTCACGTGATCAATCACGTGAACAATGGCATGAACAATCACGTGAACAATTACGTCACCAACCCAAACCAAACATATGATATTGTTCTAATGGACGGTCTTGGAAACCAAGCGCTTGTGATTAAGGAGTTCAAAATGGTAGATTTATCAAAGTTATGCCCAACTTCTCTTTTAACAGACGTTTCATATCAGATTCAATGGCAAACTGACACAACCAAACCAGAAGTCGATGTAGAAAGCAAGATATGGCTTATTGTACCTGATAAATGTGGATTCTCAGAACAGTTTATGAATTTTCTCCCCCCAAAGGATGATCAAATTTTTGTTTTTGAGTTTCCTGGAAAGTCTTCCGTCGTCGGGAATATATTCTTAGAAACGCTTCAAAAGGCATTCGAAGCGTGTAAATCTTGTGGTTTCGCGAAAGTCTGCATTGTTAGTTTCCTGCCAGTAAATAACCGTTCCTTGTCACCAGATTGGACTAACTTCCGGCAATCTCATTACCAGGCCTTCGAGAGTTCGCTGCTGATGCTTCAAACAATTTTAACATCAGGATATTCTGAAAGCGTTCAATTTGTATTAGTTACCTGCGAATCAAGCTCCCTTGAGGTTAATCACATTGACGAGGCAGCTTTTCCCTGGTCGAGCACCTTGCTTGGTTTCAGACGAACCGTTGCGGAAGAAACAACCCATCCTAAAGTGAGTGTTGTCGATTTCTCGGACAATCCGACTGCGGCTGACTTTCAGTCCTTGTCGCATGACCTACGAAAAACCGAGGTTCCTGAAGAAGTCGTGTATCGCAAAGGAAGCAGACATCTTAATCAAATAAGGCGTTTAAATTCAACTCAGGCAAGGAGTACGACTGAAGGGAAATATCGTGAAAGCCGAGCTTTTAAAAAGAAAGATTTAAATTGTTCTGTAGAAGATGAGAAAGAGATAGGTAAGCAAAGGCCAGTTTAAGTTCACATAAAGACCCAGAAAGCTCGATTTTCTTCTTTAGAAATATGTGATCGAGTGGATAAGTTATTGTTGTTCAAATAAAGGCACTTATACACAAAGTTTTCATAACTATTCACTCGTTTACATCTGCCATAATTCCTTATGCCACAACAAAACAATATTAAGATTATTTTTTGACTTTTTAGAAAACTCAGAAGAGAATTGTTCGGTGAAGACAACGTATAAAGATGAATTTCCCAGTGAAGAAGATCGTGGTTCGAAAGCGTTTAAATTGGCGCTCGTATCAGGGCAGACCTGTTTGATTGAAACTGGAAGGTCGCAACCTCCTAAAAATCACGTCGAAATGAAAGTACTTCACGCTTTTCCACTTCTTAAAGAGCATATCTCAGTGCTCTCGGATAGAGTTGCCGTTTCCGGCAAAATAATGGCGAATAACGAAAACGATTTTGCCAACGAGTTGGTTATGAAAATCTGTCATGCGTCAGAGCTCGGGAATTATATTACGACGGAAGAAAAATCTTTAATAAGAGTCGATGACTTTGTTTTCTCCAGTCACGAGGCTGCAGCGTTATCTTTCCCCTTGGCGTTGTCGTTTTATATCATGCATGAAATCGTTTGCGAGTTCAAAGGTAAGAGAATAGTAGTCTGGGCCAACGAAGCATTGCAGGCCTGTGTATTTGCATGCGTTACGTTAGCCCTTGACGCATGCGTAGTCTGCGTGGTGGGAACCTCAGATGACAAATCGATGTTTAAAGACTTCGGTTTCCCTCGTGTTTTGACGGAATGCGAAGTTTTATCAGAGGACACAGAAAGCATGGACGATTTGACCTGCGATGTTGCTTGCTTCCTGAACTCACCTAGTCAAGCTGTACTTCAAAACATCCTGAAAAATCTTCGAGATTCAGCCAAGGTTATTTCATTCGACGTTAACACAACCAAGTATCTCGATGTTTCCGTACGTGGAAACATAAGTTTCCTTCGCCCGAAACTAGAAGATATAACGGAAGATGCAAGAGTGTTTGAACAACTTCTGACAAATTGCATTCAACTGCTTTCCGACAAAGGCTATCTTGCAAAATTGAAAGAACTACCCAGCCGTTCCACTTCGATTTATGATATGGTCTCGTCCTCGAAACAAATGCAAAATATGACCTCTGGAACAGAGCCTAAAAGCGATACTCTTGCCGTGTCGACAATTTCATTCTCCAGCGAGAATTGTCCCAAAGAATTTCAGTTTTCGAGATTGTCCTTCAAACCGCGCTGCTTGAAAGAAAATAAATGTTATTTGGTCGTTGGCGGGATTCGTGGTTTTGGATTCGAAGTAGCGCTTTGGTTGATTGAAAACGGCGCAAAGACTGTCGTTTGCACGGCACGATCGCTTCCCAGCGAATCGAAGATGGCAGCCGTCGCGAGGATCGAGGAAGAGACTGGAGCCAGAATACTTCTTCGTCAGGCGGACGTGACTTCGTGGGAAGACATGTTGGGGATCGTGAGGGAACTTGAGGGTCTTTCAGGACTGGCAGGGATCGTATTTACAGCTATGGTTCTCGAGGATCAGCGAATCAAAGATGCTGACCTCGGGACCTGCGCTCGAGTGGTTAGCACAAAGGTTCAGGGTAACAGAATAATGATTTTGCTACGATTTGCTCCAACTTGTTTTCGTCCAGGATTGTTGATTGCTAAATTCAATAATTTCATCTGATTTCGTTTCAAGGTAGTGTCATTCTTCATCAACTAAGTCTGAAGTTTCACCTGGATTTCTTCATCATGTTTTCATCCATCGCTGGGATCATCGGTAACGTTGGTCAACTCGCGTACTCCGCTGCAAATACTTTCCTTGATTCCTTGTGTGATTTTCGCCGTAACAGGCTTGGGTTACCTGCACTATCTGTGGCATGGGGTACTATGGGTGGAGCAGGGATTTTGGAAAGATCGAAGGACATTGCTAGTTTGTTTCAAAGTTATGGCTTCCGTATGATGTCATGCAAACAAGGTATAGAGAGTGCTTGGTACGCCTGACTATAAAACTACGAACGTGTTATTTAATAGGACATGATTCTTACTTCATCTTTAGGAAGAAGATAAAGCCATCCAGTATAAATAAAGTTAGTTTAGTTTAGGTTTCCTCCTGTAGTAACGCTGAATCAATAAGAGATTATCTTTATTGGACCTCTAGGAAGAACAGTTTAGAACTGATAGAGTTATCCAGTATAAATAAAGTTAGTTTAGTTTAGATTTTCTCCTGTAGTAACACTGGATCAATAAGAGATTATCTTTATTGGACCTCTAGGAAGAACAGTTTAGAACTGATAGAGCTATCTAGTATAAATAAAGTTAGTTTAATTTAGGTTTCCTCCTGTAGTAACGCTGAATCAATAAGAGATTATCTTTATTGGACCTCTAGGAAGAACAGTTTAGAACTGATAGAGCTATCTAGTATAAATAAAGTTAGTTTAATTTATTTGTCCTTCCTTTAAACTAAAGCGTATGCAAACTTTATTCACAGGACTGAAATTCTTGGAACAGTTCCTAAGCCATCATCCTGAGGACTCGCAGATCATTCTTTGCGATATCGACTGGTCGACGTACCTGAAGAGCTCGGCTTACATTCTACACGAATCACCCAGGCTTCAATCTCTTAACGAAGAAACCAGAATCCCTAAAATCCACGACTCCACGAACGGTATGACGTTGGACCAGCTCTCTGGGCTCGACCCAGGACAACGACGGAAGACCGTGGAGAGCTTCATACGGAGTTTATTGTCCACGTGGTCGGAGGCTGAAGATCGCGAGGTTGATCTGAACTTAGCACTCTATAAATATGGCGTCGATTCCATCGGTGCAGCTAACATGAGTCTTCAAATACGCTGTGGACTCGGCGCGATTTTTGAGGTAAGATGGGTGGAAATGAATACTGAAAAACGCACGGATTGTGAAGTAGAATGCTAACGATTGTTTGAAGTTCTTTCCTCAGAACTCCGCTGTTTTTTATACCGAATCTTACGTCCATAAAAAACTGGAGGGAATAAGCAGCCAGTTCACTTTCATCGTTTTCAGATTGTTTGAAATTCTTTCCTCAGAACTCCCCTTTTTGTACCAATTCTTACGTCCATAAAAAACAGAATTTTAATGAAACTTTCAATTTTTACTTCCATCGTTTTCAGATTTATCACTTTATTCAACCTAAGACTACAGGCCTGTCAGTCATCAACGATACTCTCGAACAAATTCGCAGTTATGAACACGACAATCTTAACACAGACCGAGCTATGAACGACGCAAAGTTGACAAGACACTCGGCCGACAACTGTGGAAAACAGAATGATTTGAGGGAATATGAGACGATGTCTGAACATCACGTTGAGGTGGTTCCATTATATGTTCCTGACGACGCCATCGTTAATGTTTTTATGATGCACAGTAGTCATCGATCTGCGATGGCGAACTCACCATTTGCTACTGGCTTTAAGCGTCAGGTAATGTCATTGGTAAGCGGAGGTATATTTGCATGAGAGTTCCAGATACCAGCCTTCGCCGTCCGTTTTAACGGAAAAAAAACTTGATGTTTGCATTTGCACAAATTTGCTCAACGTTAGTGACTAGCTCGAATGCGAGAGTTTTTATAAATAGGTAGCTGGTCAAATGCTAGCGTGAATCGCAACTATCATGTATCCTCGTTTATCCTTATGTATCATCGTTTATCCATATGTATCCTCGTTTATCCCTATGTATCATCGTTTATCCATATGTATCCTCGTTTATCCTTATGCATTATCGTTTATCCATATGTATCTTCGTTTATCCTTATGTATCCTCGTTTGACTCTGTCTTAACTAAAATCATCACACAGACGGATAAGTGCTGAAATACTGTCGTGACTCTTGACCTTACAGGAGACTGTTGCCTTGTACAGCATTGGAACTAAAGAGTCCTTGTCTGAGGATGACTATGATGCCACAGTAAAAACCTGCGCCAAACATTACATTAAGTCAATAAAAACAATACAACGTGCTGGTCCGTATTATCTAGGTGGGTTAAACATTATACGTCGTGTTCAAACGGTCCTATTCACTTTCTAGCGTATGTGATTTTATTCAATCGTTTTTTTTTAAGGTAGCGAAAAAGGTTAACAGTTTTGTTTCTTTCAGCTGGATTCTCATTCGGCGGTCTATTGAGCTACGAAGTTGCCTGTCAGTTGACGCAAGATGGCGAAGACGTTGCCATGGTAGCCATGTTAGACACCATGCCCTGGTTTCCGAAATCAACGCAGGACAAGAATGCGGATTTCAAAAGGTTGCAAGAGAACCTTATAAATGATTTACAAGAAAAAATGGTAATGCGAAAGAATAAATACGAGTTTACCTTATAATTGTGCTTTCTATCCTTGAAATTATTTTTGAATGATTTTTAAAATTCTAAAACGTCTTTACGACTACAAAGGTTGGTCGATATTTGAGATCAGCGGCACTAGGTCGTCTTGGCTTAACGTTGGAAGAATTCGATTCCTTGATGGATGAATTGGGGACTGGAGAGGAATTGATTTTAGCATTGGATGAGAGAGCAAAGAAGACGAGCTTTAGTTTAGATGACGTCAGAGATCACGTGGAATCTCTAAAAAGCCAATCGGCGAAATCATGCCGAGCGCATTTTGAATGGCAACCACCGGAGGTAATGATTTAATGTGATTCCTAGGCGCAATAGACTGCACAGAATACCTTAAATTTAGACTAATGACTCTGTATGTTTGAGATTTAAGATATACTTTTATTTTCGCTTAGGTGAGATATGACCAAACACTATTGTATATTCTATGTCAAAATGTTGTCGACCAACCTTGCCTAGTTTGGGATCCGTTGGAATCCTGGGGATCGTTAACATGTAAATTCCAAATAATGTCGGTTCCCAGCAGCCATTTCGAGCTGCTGGATCAGCCATATAGCAAAATTTGCGGGCTTCTGATTATGACAACTGCTTTGATGAAACGCGGCAGTCTCGTTGGAAGGAGGCTCAGTCCAAGATCCAACCACAAGGAACGGTTGATTCAGTTCCTGAAGGACTCGATCAACGTTTTAATTTGTTCCAATCAAGGTAACAAGATTCAAAAATTTGTTTCCATAATGCAGGCTGTTCGATAGATCCCAGTCATCCCACTTAGCCGATATTAAACAAAACGTGATATGATTTTGAGGTATTGGAATGAGTAAATAACATGATCTTGATAGTGGTGCTTGACCAACTCGGGTTAGCCACTAGCGATGCCAGCGTTACCAACTTTAGCAACTAGCGTTGAACTAACTTTGGTTGCATTCTAGATCAGTCAAGCGCAAGATTGTGTTTCAATGACGAAGAGGACGAGCTCTGGATACGTTTTGAAACGAATGAACCTCGTAAGAAGATAAAAATTAAACTAAATGGTGAGAATTGCATAGTGATGTGGCAACGTTGGTTTCACTAGAACCTCTGGTCCTCATCACAGAGCCTCCATATTTTGGGTTATACATTTAGATCATAGAATAAGCCTTCTGTTGCATAAAAATTGCATTGTTTCTTCTAGATATTCTCAATATTTTACCCGGGAAATATGCGTTGGTTGACAGCAAGAAAGGTACGCAACAGCTCGATAAAAACTTAACCATTTCTTTGCTGCTTAATTCCAACCAGCAGATTCACATAGTCTGCCAAGATTGGCAACAGCGGGACAATCTCTTGGACGCTTTTGAAGTTTTAGTGGAGAGTCCGCTGGTGCGGTTCCATTATTAATGTCAGAAGAGAAATGCATTTCACTCGATTAACAAAGTGTTTGATACCATTCTAACTCTGAATGGACCACTGGTCTGAACACCAATAAAAACAACGTTTTGGTCCTTGGGTATTCATGGACAAGGGTTTTTTTCTTATGCCAAGTTTTTTTTTCACGCGTGGCAAAAAAACTGACCGCAAATAGAGTTTTCTGCTTGAGCTCTGCTGGAGTAACATTTTACTAAAGCCTGGCGCATACTGGTGCACCTTGCACGCACACATATCACTCAAGTCTGCGGGATTAAGATATTCTGCCATACCAGTCATGTCGTAAAATTAAGTAAGTAACATGTGGACTGATAGTTATCCAATCACAGTAGTCAATAAGTACTAGGTGCGTGTATTATTCTAATGATGTCTGGCTAATATTTTATTACTATATACAAGTAATTGAATATTTTTAAAAGTTTATGCCAGCCAATTCATTGTTAACTGTTATAACATGAACTCTACGGTCTACGGAAGTTATCCTGTACAGACGCACAAAAAATCTATATCCTTTCAACACCTTATCTCATTTGCTAATCATGCCGTTTTTATATGCAAAAATTATAATAGTTATATGCTGTGCATTATTGATTGATTAGAAAGATACGATTGAATTAGTGTTATCCATGATGTAATTATAAGTTATCAAAGTTTATCAAAAGTAAAATGTGGGATATTTTAGTAGGACAATATCCTAGAATCCATAGCTGGACCCGCCTTTTCTTGGATCAGACTTGGCGAAGATTTTTCCATCTAACTCTTTGGAAATTGCTTGCACAACAGAAAAGGGAGATTCTTTTATGATGGTGTGTCCATAGCCTTTCAGTTCTTTGATGATATATCGTGACAGGTTGCGAGGTGGTTCTTCTATAGCTGTGTAATTAGGAAGAAGTTGGTTGTGGAAACGAGGCATGGTAACAGCTTCACTTGTGTTACGACCAAACCATATTTTGTTCATCGTTACCTAAATTAAGTTTGAATATAAAAACTGGTGTGACAAGTGTGGTGTAGCATAGTTATTTTGTGGTGCGGTATGGGTATGGTATGGTATGGTATGGTATGGTATGGTATGGTATGGTATGGTATGGTATGGTATGGTATGGTATGGTATTGGTATGGTATGGTATGGTATGTTATCAGTTTTAAACATCCTTACCAATGCAGTAGCCGTGGTGATCCTCGAACCACCAGATGCCCCTGCAATGAACACGACATCCCCACTTGTTCTGTTTGTTAAAATGATAGGACTCATGGACGACATTGGTCGTTTGCCAGGCACGATGTAATTACTACGAGAGGGTTCAATTTTGAATTCATTAGCCATCCCAGGTGTCGAGAAATCGTTCATCTGATTATTGTATGTTATCCCTGTCACTGTCGAACGCACTTTCGAACCAAAACTGACATGAGAGAAATAAATGGTATTAGATTAGAATTAACGGATCAGCAGTGTAGCGGATTGAGGCGATGCCCTAAATGTTGGGGCCCAGTTTGTCAATGATTATTCTTACTAAGTGTCGATGGTGCTGGTAACTGACACGGCGTCTCCGTTCGGCGCTAGAACTGACAAGTGTGATGTCCCCGGGGGATCGAAATTTGCATCATATACGCCATAGTGTCTGGCGTCGGGATATGTTTGATTGGTAATGTTCATGCGAATTCTTTCCGCGTAAGTTTCATCCAAAAGGTCCTTTATGATCTGAAATAGACGTAAAAACCACGGCATTCATTCTCTTGCAACTGTAGGAAACAATTTGACTTTGTATAGCTGACATGTGTTACATTCCCCATACTAACCTGTGTATTATTTAGAAAGTTTTTGTCGCCCAGCAACGCACGCCTTGCGTAGGCATATTTGAAAGTTTCAATAATCTTGTGATAAGCATTTGCTGTTTTTGAATTGTTTGATACGCTTTCAGGAGTGAAATTATAACCTAAATGTGTGAAAGTAAATATGTTTGTAAATATGCAGTACAGTTACGAACTGATACTGATAGAGCTATCCAGTATGAATAACGTTAGTTTAGTTTAGATTTCCTCCTGTAGTAACACTTGATCAATAAGAGATTATCCTTACTGGACCTCTAGGAAGAACAGTTTAGAACTGATAGAGCTATCCAGTATAAAAAAGTTGGTTTTGTTTAAGTTTCTTCCTGTATTAATACTAAAGAGATAATCCTTACTCGACTTCTAGGAAGAACAGTCAGTTGACAAAATCTATTTTTATTTTATCAACTATTTTAAAAACAGTCTCACCAACCTTTGAGTACATTGAGCATGAACGCAATCAGGATACCGCTGGACGGTAGACCAGATGTATGCAGCTGATAATCCCCAACACTGGCATTAATTGCAGGCTCAACTTCAACATTATAATCGTTCAAATCTTTTGCAGAAATAATACCACCATTTGAATCAATATCATTTACAATGTCTTTTGCAAGAGATCCATTGTAAAACGATAAAGGGTCGCAACTTATTCGTTCTAATGTTACGGCGAGCTTTCTGTTCACCAATCTGTCACCCAGTCGCTTTAAACAGCCATCTTCCTTCACCAGAAGCTCTCTGAGAGTGGAAAGAAAAGTCAAATCTTGCAAGGAAGTTTGCACACGGAAATCCCACATGCACCTGGTTTTAGCTCTCCTTCCTTAAGAACTTACTTTAACCCTGTAAAGTTTCTGATTTCTTTCTCTTCTTTTTCTATAGCCTTGTGCAGTGCTTCGCTGATAATAAAACCTTCTCTTGCTAGGTTCATCGCAGGTCTAACGAGTTCTTTCCAGTCCAGTTTTCCATATTTCTTGTGTGCTTCGTACATTCCTTTCACCTCACCGGGCACAGCAATTGCCAGACCACCTATAAGAGTTTACCGTTTTAACAATTATTTGCCTGTGTTGTCGACCTATAATTTTATTTTCGTTTCCTAGTTGTCTTGTTTGTCTTTTTGTGGCCTTTTGCTTGTCAGTAAGCTAACATATTGTTTTTAATTGCTTGTTTTTTTTGCTTCCTTGTTGTCTGATTGATTCAGTTGTTTGTTTGTTTATTTTGCTTATTCGCTTTTTTGTTTGTTCGTTTGTTTATTTGTTTACCGACAAATAGCAAGAAAACAACACGCCACCTGTCTTAGACGCAGAGGTATCATTCACGAACATGCTCTCGTTTGCCAATCCAGGGGCCTTTTCTCTAAAGTTAAAGTACTCGGCAGTTCTTTTCTCCTTAATATAAACAACCATTACGGCGCCACCGCCAATGCCAGCTGAATGCATATTCACCACACCGATACAGAAAAGAGCGCCAATGGCTGCGTCAACCGCTGAGCCGTTTCTTTTGAGAATTTCAACTCCAATCTTTGAACATCTCACGTCATCAGCAGACACCGCGGATTCATTGTACGGCCCCTGTTGTAAATGATGACAGTTTATACTGAGCAAAATTAATTTAAGTGCAGTCATGATATAAAAATGAACTTTTGTCTGAAAATTTCAGGGCGTCCATGATGACGTAGGTTTCTTGTCGTTCAGAGCTTGTAAATCTCTGTATCTCTGTAAATACATGTATCTAACCGAATACGTTTTTTAGGCCAGCAATGAATAAGCCGATAATTCACTGAAACGCTAGTATAAGGCTGTGTAGATTTAATGTTGAGACAAAAAGCTTCTCTTGCATAAATCGTTTGAAATAATAATCAACATTAATTTTACGCTTGCAACATTCACTTAAATTTCGCGTCATATAGAAAAGTAATTCAATTTCAGCAAGCTGTTGTACCTATAATTACTTGATTAACGAGCGTAATTTTCTTTTTAAGATTGTCAGGAATTTAGATCTAGATGTTTGTGCTATATTTAAAAGGTGGTTATATCAAATAATTATATTGCCGAGAATAAACCCAGGTAAATAATCAGGTAAAAGCCTAATTTATTTTCATATCTAAACAATTCGCTTGTAAAAACATGCACAATAAGGTTGGGTTTCCTTTCGCAAAAGCTAGCGAAATACTTGCATATTTTCTTTTCAATTTAGATTTAATTATGCTGTTGAAATTAAAAGGAAAATGTGGAAATATTCGAAAGGAACCATTTTTCTCATTTTTCTGCACGTAAAAATGTAGCCTGATGATAAAGATGATAATATATAAAAAAAATTTCCATACGTCCGTGGAGAATAGTTCGCCATTTTTCAACTGTTCTAACTTAGTTAAGTTACCTCCGGATTGTCCGATTGTCCTGGGGGAGGGGAGTCTGTGGGTGTTTGTGAGCAGTTGACACTCGGGGAGGTGGGCGTGGATTGGTATGTCGTGGGGGTTGGTCTCTCACTTGATGACGCAGTACTTGTTGGACTATCAGTACCGCTGGACTCATTTGAATCCGAATCTTTATTTGCGTAGAGAACAGCCAATGCGATGACAACAGCAAGCAAGATTACGATGACGACCATCGAAATGAGAAGATATTTCTTGCTTTTTGATCTGTAACCATTAATGAATCAGAAGGGAATGCTCATCTTTGAAGGCAAGACGTTTTTTTGAGATATTTGAAAATTTCATACATGCCCTGATATGGCATTGTAAAAGATAATATCTTTGGAGATAATATCATTTTCACTGATCCACGTAGAGAAACTCGGGATTCAAGCCTAATCCTAAACCTAATCTAACACTAAAAGATTAGATTACAACGTAAATATGATTGCAATTTACTAGCTACCATATCACAGGGGGGGCACGACTTGCATATGCATTTTTATGCGTATCATTCTTATAATTTTCTCGAAAGTGGGGCACCGGAAGAGCATACTGTGAGCCACGTAGTCCGTGACTCATTGTGAGATCACGTTCCGAATGGCTAACATACAGCATAGTTTATTTTGTTCTGGAATGATCGAATTTAAAAAATCCTAATATCGAATGTCATTCGGTGGCTTGGCCTTGTATATAGCTGGTGTGCGTCAAGTTTGTTTCCTCTTAATTGATTACCTCTCTGGTATAGAAATTAGTATTTTGCAATCTTCCTAGCCATTTGTCTCATGATCAAATATTACTAATTGCATGTCAAAAAAAACTGGTGAAACAATTGTCGCGAAATTGCCAAACTTCGAGCGATGCAACTTTATTGTCCATATTCATATGAATTCGTTCAAATTAATTAGCTCTAACATTAACCATAGTTTTTGATGCTGGGTTATTATTTTCCTTTACCCTCCGTGAGATTTCCGGCAAATTTTGCTACATTTTTGTGGCACTTTACCGGTTGTAGTTTCATGGCACTGAAAAACAGCCAATAACACTTTGTGCGTGGACATGAATAGAAACTCCAGCAAACTCAAAAAGCTGTTATTAGGAGAATAGCATCATCGGTTTTTATGTTTTTCTTCAAAGCTAAGTGTCGTCTACATTCTTGAAAGTGGTGCCCCGATTAGGGAGTATGTTTTGTGTGTAGCAAAATTGGCTTAGATTTTTTCCACCTCACCTTTCCACATTACTCCCGCCTCCTAAAGCTGTGTTTGACATCGCCAAGCCTTCGTTCTTCATGATTGTTTTTCAACTTTCCTCCGTATAAGCTGTGTGTTGTGTTGTGTTGTCTTAAAACTCGAGTTACCACTTGTCGTGATCTCGACACGGTTCTACAGCTGGCAATAGAAATTCAAATGAGATATTTTGACCTATAATTTTTAACCCTACCCACGAAGCTGTTTCGGAAAATCAAATTTCCGAAATCAACGAAAGACAAAAATGCCGCGGATTTCAAAAGGTTGCAAGAGAACCTTGTAAATGATTTACAAAAAAAATGGTAATGCGAAAGAATTAATACGAATCAGTTTTCCTTATAATTGTGCTTTATATCGTTTAAAATTATTACAGTAGTTCGCCTTGGCTTAACTTGGAAGAATTCGATTCCTTGATAAATGAATTGGGGACTGGAGAGGATTTGATTTTAGCGTTAGATGAGAGAGCAAAGTAGACGAAGCTTAGTTTAGATGACTAAAGACTAGCGTACACTGGTGCATATTGCAGGCACGCATGTCACTGCAAGTCAGTACTTTATTACTGTATACACAAATTACTGAAAATCTTTAATAATATCTGAATAGTTCATGCGAGCCAATCGTTAAGACATAAACTGTACAGAGGTTATCGTGTACAGGCAGACGCCTTGCACAAAAAACTACATCCTTTCAACACCGTATTTCATTTGCTAACTATGGCGTTTTTATATACAAATATTATCATAGGTTACTCACAGAACTCTGTGATCGTGGGATAAAAAATAGGCTTCGCATTATTGATTGTTTCGTTTCAATAATTGAATCGGTTTTATCCATGATGTAATTATAAGTTATCAAAGTTTATCGATACTAAAATGTCGGATATTTTAGTTTGACAATATCTTAGAATCCAAAACTGGACCCTCCTTTTCTTGGATCAGACTTGGCAAAGATTTTTCCATCTAACTCTTTGGAAATTGCTTGCACAACAGAATAGAAAGATTTGGTTTCGATGATATGTCCATAGCCTTGGAGTTCTTTGATGATATATGGCGACAGCTTGCGAGGTGGTTGTTCTATAGCTGTGTAATTAGGAAGAAGTTGGTTGTGGAAACGAGGCATGGTAACGGCTACACTTGTGTTACGACCAAACCATATTTTGTTCATCGTTACCTAGATTTAGTTTAAATATTAGAAATTAACATATTGATGGTCTGGTGTGGCAAGTGTGGTGTAGTTTGGTATGTGTAAGTGTGGTGTAAGTGTGGTGTAAGTGTGGTGTGGTGTGGTATGGCGTGGTGTGGTGTGGTGTGGTGTGGTGTGGTATGGTATGGTGTGGTGTGGCGTGGCGTGGTGGTATGGTGTGTGTGGCGTGGTGTGCGTGGTGTGGTGTGGTGTGGTGTGGTGTGGTGTGGTGTGGTGTGGTGTGGTGTGGTACGGGTATGTTATTGTATGGCATGGTATGGTATGAGTTTTAAACATTCTTACCAATGCAGTACCCGTGGTGATCCTCGTACCCCCAGATGCCCCTGCAATAAACACGACATCCCCACTTGTTCTGTTTGTTAAAATGATAGGACTCATGGACGACATTGGTCGTTTGCCTGGCGCGATGAAATTACTAGGAGATGGTTCAACTCCGTATGCATTGGTCAATCCAGGTGTCGAGAAATCGTCCATCTCATTATTGTACGTTATCCCTGTCACTGTCGAACGCACTTTTGAACCAAAACTGACATGAAAAAAATAAATGGTATTAGATTAATTATTTGTCAGTATTTGATGTTTTAGTGACTTAAATGTAGATAGTTAATAGTTTAGATATCCTGTACCTTACCAATTTTGGTAGGAGTACCTTTTAAAGTTTAAAGTTAAAGATGGTAACCACACCAATGGGGGGACACTATTCCCTGAACCCCCCAGTGGCCGGGCGGCAGAGTACTTGTCCTAATCCCACCTTACGTGCGTTCCATGTAGGACACATGTTGTCCTTTGGTACTCTGGTACTCTGATCTTAGTTGCATCTGGAATGATCTGAAGTATCCACGTTGGTTGAATTTGATACATATTTACTTACTAAGTGTTGATGGTACTGGTAACTGACACTGCGTCCCCATTCGGCGCTAGAACTGACAAGTGTGATGTCCCGGGGGCATCGTAATTTGCATAATATCCGCCGTAGTGACTAGCGTTAGGATATGTTTGATCGGTAATGTTTTTGCGAATTCTTTCCGCGTAATCTTCATCCAAAAGGTCCTCTATGATCTGAAATAGACGTAAAAACCATGGCATTCATTCCCCGGCAACTTTAAGAAACATTTTAAAAGCCATGCCATAGATCTATTTGACTTTGTATAGCTGACATGTATTACATTCTCCATACTGACCTGTGTATCAGTTAGAAAGTTTTTGTCGCCCAGCAACGCACGCCTTGCGTAGGCATATTTGAAAGTTTCAATAATCTTGTGATAAACATTCGCTGTTTTTGAATTGTTTGATACGCTTTCGAGAGTGAAATCATAACCTAAATGTGTGAAAGTAAATATGTTTGTAAATATGAAGAACAGTTTAGAACTGATAGAGCTATCCAGTATAAATAAAGTTAGTTTAGTTTAGGTTTCCTCCATTAGTAACACTGGATCAATAAGAGATGATCCTTACTGGACCTCTAGGAAAGACAGTTTAGAACTGATAGAGCTATCCAGTATAAATAAAGTTAGTTTAGTTTAGGTTTCCTCCTGTAGTAACACTGGATCAATAAGAGATGATCCTTACTGGACCTCTAGGAAAGACAGTTTAGAACTGATAGAGATATCCAGTATAAATAAAGTCACTTTAGTTCAGGTTTCCTCCAGTGTAGTAACACTAAAGAGATGATCCTTACTGGACTTCTACAACTATTTGACAAAATCCTATTTTGTACATTTACAAACCTTTGAGTACATTGAGCATGAACGCAATCAGGATACCGCTGGACGGTAGACCAGATGTATGCAGCTGATAATCCCCAACACTGGCATTGAGTGCAGGCTCAACTTCAACATTATAATCGTTCAAATCTTTAGCGGTGATGATACCACGATTTGAATCAATATCGTTAACGATATCTTTTGCGAGGGATCCGTTGTAAAACGATGTAGGATCGCAACTTATTCGCTCTAATGTTACAGCGAGCTTTCTGTTGACCAATCTGTCGCCCAGCCTCTTTAAACAACCATCTTCCTTCAGCAGAAGCTCTCTGAGAGTGGAAAGAAAAGGCAAGAAAGTTTGCACACGAAAATTCCACATGCACTTGTATTTAGCTCCTTCAAGACTTTACAAACTTACTTTAGCCCTTCAAGTTTTCTGATTTCTTTCTCTTTACTTCTAATAGCCTTGTCCAGTGCTTTGCTGATAGTGAAACCTTCTCTTGCCAGGCTCATCGCAGGTTTAACGAGTTCTTTCCATTTCAGTTTTCCATATTTCTTGTGTGCTTCGTACATTCCTTTCACCTCGCCGGGCACAGCAATTGCCAGACCACCTATAAGAGTTTACCGTTTTAACAATTATTGACCTGTGTTGTTGGTCTAATTTCATTTTCGTTTCCTAGTTGTTTTTTTCCCTTTTGCTTGTCAGTTAGCTAACATATTGTTTTTAATTGCTTGTCTTTTTGCTTCCTTGTCGTCTGATTGATTCAGTTGTTTGTCTGCACGCTAGTTGTAGTTTATTTGTTTACCGACAAATAGCAAGAAAACAACACCCCACCTGTCTTAGACGCAGAGGTCGTATCATTCACGAACATGCTCTCGTTTGCCAATCCAGGTGCTCTTTCTCTAAAGTTAAAGTACTCGGCAGTTCTTTTCTTCTTGATATAAACAACCATTACGGCGCCACCGCCAATACCAGCTGAATGCATATTAACCACACCGATACAGAAAAGAGCGGCAATGGCTGCGTCAACCGCTGAGCCGTTTTTTTTGAGAATGTTAACTCCTATCTCTGAACATCTCACGTCATCAGCAGATACCGCGGCTTCATTGTACGGCCCCTGTTGTTAATTATGATAATTTATACTGAGCAAACGGCTTGCGTGGTATTGATTATCAGTATTTTTGTCATGACTTGGATGTTTGTGGTATATCAGTTTAAAAAATGGGCCGTCACGAGATATATCAAATATCTTGGCAAGGATAAAAGCTGGTAAATCGACAGGTAAAAGCCTCGTTTATTTTCATATTCGCTAAACATGCACAATAAGGCTGGGTTTCCACTTGCAAAACTAGCGAAATATTTGCATATTTTCTTTTGAATTGAGATTCAGTATTCATGCTCATGCTGTTGAAATTCAAAAGAAAATATGGAAACACTGGAAAGGATGATTTTTCTAATTCTCATTCAGTCTCCGATTCATTCATCTCCGTAGGCGGAATATTCCGGCAGTTTTCAACTGTCTTACCTCCGGATTGTCCGATTGTCCTGGGGGAGGAGCGTCCGTGGGTGTTTGTGAGCAGTTGACACTTGGGGAGGTGGTTTGTTTTGTTGGGGCGAGGGTGGTTTTTCTTGGGGACGTGGATTTGTATCTCGTGGGGGTTGGTCTCCGGGCACTTGGTGACGCAGTACTTGTTGGACTATCAGTACCTTTATTTTTCCCCGTTTGACCGCTGGACTCATTTGAGTCTGAATCTTTATTTGCGTAGAGAACAGCCAATGCGATGACAGCAGCAAGCAAGATTACGATGACGACTAACGAAATGAGAAGGTGCTTCTTGCTATTTGATCTGTAACCACTAAATGAATCAGAAGGGAATGTTCATCTTTGAAGGCAAGACGTTTTTTTGAGATGTTTGAAAATTTCATACATGCCCTGATATGGCATTGTAAAATTTGGAGGTAATATAATTTTTACCGCGTAGAGAAACTCGGGATTCAAGCCTAATCCTAAACCTAATCTAACACTAAAAGATTAGATTATAAGGATTATATTCGTGGATTGACATGGAATTCTTGTACCATATAATATGTCTGGCGAATAATAAGCTTAGCATAGTATTCTACAATATGATTGGTGAGATATAACATCTGGCATAACATGGTATGGTATGGTATGATATGGTTGTAAGATGTGCTTTTGTACATTATGGTTGGAAGGATACGAGATGTTTACTTTGACATAAAAAAACATTGCGTTTACTTATAGCAAAAAAATCCCGTTGAAGCACCTTACGTCATAATCGTCATTAACGAGAATTTACATCGTAAATATGATTGCAATTTCTAATCATATCACAGGGGGCCCGAATTGCATATTCATTTTTATGCGCATCATTCCTTTCATTTCCTCGAAAATGAGGCGAAGAGCATGCTGTGAGCCTTGTACGTAGCTCAATACTCCTCGTAAGGTCACGTTCCGTGGTATGGTTTATTTCGGTCTGGAATGATTAAATTAAAAAAGTCCTAATATCAAATGTTGTTATTCGGTTCTCAGATGGGTTTTGCGTCAAATTTGGATTACCTCTGCTAAACATAATATTAGATTAAACGTAGATTACCTCTTCGGCTCTACCTCTGCTCTGCTATAGGAATTAGTTGAAATTGCTAACTTCCTAACCATTTGTCTCAAGATCAAATATTACTAATTGCATGTCAATTAAAAGAAAAACCTGTCGTCACGTTTCCTGTGTAAACGAAGCAGTTCGCCATGAAATTAAAATTCCTGTTTGTGTGGGATTTGTGGGTTTAACTTTTCAACTATAGTGAATTAGCAAAACCTATTGTCAACCTTCCAGGGATCCGAGTGTAATGTCTATATTCGTATAAAATCGTCCAAATTAATTAAACCTTTCGCAACAAGCTAATTATCCGGTGTTGGGCGCTAATGAAATGAAATACTGTCAAAACTTTGCAGGCTCTGTGCGTAGAAGTCTGCGTGTAAACACTAGCTAGTACACATGAGCTGCGAATACTGAATACAAAGTAATTAATGAGTAATTGCAACATATATTTTCTGTTTAACCGCTCTGAATGTACACGTCATTTCAAAACTCGATTTTTATATACTAAAAAGTTTGTCCCATATTACTAAACTGGCGAGCTATTAGCCGTAGTATGCGCAGTAACCATAGTTTTTGATGTTGGGTAATTGGCCTTTACACTCTGTGAGATTTCCCGCAAATTTTCCTATATTTTTGTGGCACTTTACCGGTTGTAGTTCCGTGCAACTGAAAAACAGCCAATAACTCTTTGCGTGTGAACATATATCGAAACTCCAGCGAACTCAAGAAGCTGTTATTAGGAGATTCGCATAAATAATCGGATTTCATGGTCAATTCCTCATAACTAAGTGCCGTCTACATTCTTGAAAGTGTTGCCCCGACAGTTAGGATGTTCTGTGTCTAGCAAAATTGGCCTGGTTAGCAAAATTGGCTTGAATTTTTTCCGCCTCACCTTTCCACATTATTCCCGCCTCCCAAAGCTGTGTTTGACATCGCAAAGCCTTCGTTCTTCATGTTTTCTTTTCAACTTTCCTCCGTAGACTTTCTCAGACTGTTTGTTGTGATGTGCCAGAACTCGAGTTACCACTTGCTGTGATTTCGGCGTTTTTACGGCTGGGAAAGAGATTCAAATGAGATATTTTAACCTAATTTTTAAACGTGTCGGAGATCAGATATACCGTGGGCATCTGACTCCTAAAACCATTTGGTCGTCTGGTTTGTGTCAACGTTTGGTTTGCATGACAATGGTTTTTCGAAATGGTGTTTGTTTTCTACGCAAGTCTCTCTTCAAATCAGGGGAAAGATGTCGTATTATTAAACAATTATTTTAAGAGTGAGTGACATAATATCATATCGAATTACGTTATGTATTGCATATTGCACTATCGTTGCCTCGTGACCAGTCGTAATCGCATTGTTGCGAGATTAGGACAAAGTTTGTACAAGACAAAGCCCGCAAAGGCAGTCTAGAAGTGAAACGCTTGTTTCAACGTGAAGAAATTGAGCTGAATCGCTATGAATGAATCGCCATGGTTTGCTAATGTGTTGTACTCAATTTACATAATATTTACTAATATCGTAAAGCGCTAAAACAGTTTTTTTCCGTGGTGCCATTAGTGTCATAATGGACTTTAGAGTGTCCATTTTTCAAGAGGAATCTTACAAATTATCCTGGCCACTGATCTGAAATGTCACTGAAATGCGACAGATTCAGTGGTCAGTAAGAAGATAAGCATGAAGTAGAATAGGATAGGATACAATAAAGTACAGATTATGAATTATGAAAGTATTTACATGTTAAAAAAAGGGAAAAAAAGGTGGTTAACTTTTAACCACAATTTGTGGCAGAATCAACCAATCAAAATATATGTGTATTTTGGTGCTAACTACGATTAATTAACTACTTGTTTCATACAACTGACTGGCACCTGGCAAGATCTGAGCTCACAAGCATCATTTGTGGACTGTGCATCGACGAAACGTTACTCAATCGGCCGTTTCCTCGAAGCAATAAGGATGACTTAATATAGACCATGAAACACACGTAGTACTATTCGCAGGTTACGCAACAAAACGGTTCAAATAACGTTTATCAATTGTATGACCAATATGGCGGACGGACTATGGAATGAAACTTAAACACACTTTGCCAGCGCTCATCAACGATAAACATTCAATGTTTACCGGCATATGATATTTCACTGACTGCCCGGGTAATATTGAGAACAATTCATTATTTTATTAAGCATAAATGATATAATGAAAATTGGCAAATGTTGATTCTTCTTTACTACCTGTTTTTTAGATCGCACAAGAGACCACTGTTCCGCGCCTTGTAAACGAATGGCCGATAGAAAACAAGCCAAACAGCATTTGTTTATCGCCTCAAAGTTGTGTCTTTCATATTTCCATCATACAAGGCCTTTATCGTAAAAAACGGATGGTTGTGGGCGTTCAAAGTTGCTTCGGAAGTAATCGAGAGCGTTACGTATAAGGTGCCCGGAGAACCATATGTAAGTACATTTCAGTACAAATGTGGGAAAATCAGCTAACTAAGCTAACTAAGCAAACTATTGCTTAGAATCGGATGGCAAAAGGCTGTAGTCTTTAAGTATAGCCCGCATTTCGTTTGCTCATTTAAAGAGCATCTGCCAGTTTACTGAGATGGAAATGTTGGGTGGTTCTCGCCAAGAGAGGTTGTCTAGGCTAAAGAAGACAAGCGTCTGTGCCAAATGATGGCTTTGTCTCATCCGAAAAAAAGGAGTACGTGTTAGTAAATGTGTCGCCCTGCTTTGCAAACCAGTTTAGTTTATTTCCCAATTACGTACAGGACAGGAGAAGTACGCACGTAGGTAAAGGAAATTGACATACGATTACCGTTTCAGATCGACCAAACCTGCCAATGACACAGGAGACAATACTTGCTTCGTTCCGTTGCGAAATTACTTCCTCCCTAGACTCTCGGTCTTTGGAACGCACTGAAAGTTAAGGAATATGGTAGTATGACAGAGTTCTTTTCAAATTAAAGCACAGTGTTGGTGCTTTTGAAAATTCAGAAGTTAGTAGCAATATGGAATTGATGTTCCAGACATAGATTGCTGTGTCAGAGTCAGACTATCAGTTTTCCATATATTTATAAGTTTGAGGTTTGAATAAGTGGAACATCAAGTCCATCGACAGATATTGTCTTTTTGGTAATATATAATTATCTTCTTTTAAGAAAGATCACTTTAAGTTTCCGGCAACGGACTTACGGACAGGGATCGAACCTAATTTCCTAAATCATCTCCAGGTCGTGCATATGATATTCGTGCCATAATTTGGCCATTCAATAGTAATGGCAATATGGAAACTGAGATAACTGCGCTTGTCATAGACAGCCAATATTTCGTTTACAATTTTGTCGCCGACAAGTTAACTTAATGTTCTCGTACAATTAAATACAGAACAGCAATGACATAATCGCCGACAAATTCTACGCGCATTATTTGTGCATTTCAGTCCTGTAGTGACCGGTGTAGCCGGGCTTATTTCGGTATATAATTCAATGTTTAATATGCCCTATTTAATCCTTTAGATTAGGTTAGGATTAGGGTCAGGATTGGGCCTTAGGTTTATAGTTCATCAGTGTTAATCCTAATCCTAAACCGAACCGTAATCCTTAGTCTAAATGATTAAATTCGTGAATTTAGGATTTACTAATTATTATCCTGGTGTGCATGCATGGAAAATTTTTCATACTGTAAAATATTCCGTTCTCTGATGACTCCAGAGAATATACAAGATCCTTAGTCATATAAATTGAAGTGATATTAATCGATGATGCATCTAGCTTAGTCATTTTGATTCCCGTGTGAACGAGGTAATGCTGATCATGTCTTGTGACAATGTGACTTGTATATTGCCTTTGGTCCAATATACGACACATACTTACTTATATAGGAAATCTAAATCAAACAGAATTTATCGGTATATTGATAGACTTTTACTGAAAGGAAGTACAAAAGATCACTTTGTGATCGCTTGATTTTCACAAACGCTAAACTGTCCTTAGGTAGATTTATGATTATAATTTATGCATGGACGCCGGGCACTGGGTACTATACTGCGCATAATCTTTGTTATAATAATCTTCGATTAGACCAGCAAAAGATTGTTGGGAAACTGGCAATTATATTATTGACTAGAATCAATGATTTTATTTTGAAAAATGATGAAGTATGAAGGCAGGGGTTGGAAAACCAACCAATACGTACGTTCAGAGCTGAAAAACGTTTGGTGTGGAGATGTTTGCTGGATCCGAGGCTAAAATTAAGCATAGGCTATTTTGAAAGAAAATAAAATCAACAGACCATAAGAAAAGACCTTTAAACTAGTTTGTAAAGATAATTAACGCAGTGCCAGTAGACATGGATTTATCCATTGATAGGTTTATATTCATTGACGTAGCTACACTGGATTGGCAGGTTTTGGTCTCCGGGCGGGGGACTTATTGTGATGACAGATACGCTATTGAAGTCTCCTCGACTCTCCCGTTTGTACTTCGTGTCATCCTCGGCGCCTGACGGATTATCCACTCAAATTGTCTCGTCATAAAATAGGAAATTAAATCGGGGCAAAAAAAACTCGTCCGTGTTTGTCGGCGAGCGGAATTGCGTTGAGGAAAAGCGTAGCTGAGCAAGTACCATTGTATGTAAAGATTCATTGTATAACAGCGTTTTTTAAGCCTTGAGTTAGGCCGTTAGGATAGGAAGTAATTTGGTGTAAAGGCACTGGGAATATGTTGTGTTTTGAGGTTAATTGAAGGCCCACTTCAAGCATTTCTCATTTGTTTACCTTTTCAACAAAGGAATTTAAAATAAAACGTGATGAACTGCAGAGATACCCTGCAATACAGCACTTTATCACCAAGAAAACTCTTCGGGAAACAAAGGCTCTCAGTATTGAGGTGGTTATATTGAGATCAGCATGCATGTCAAGTATCAGTATATGGGTAAATGCTCGAACGCTGCATTTAGCCCCAAAAGGGGAAATGTTTTTCGATTTCTGACAGATGCTCTTGAATAACCGATAAGATGCATTAAAGTTTTATTGAATATTCCGACCTCATGTGAGAAGTCACATGCCTTGCGCAAAAATGGCCTGCACGCTATGCACCCGCCCGCCCGCGTAGAGCGGGAAGTTAGTCATGAATAGCGGAAACTTTAACCCAGCATGCGGGCGCTCATTTGCACACACTCGACTGTCTCGACGAATTTTACGCGCCGTTTATTTTCTTTCTTCTCTTCGCCCAGCGGGAATCTACGTTTTTTGGCGCCAAAATTCGGTACCTCGTGAATGATAGCGTCATTTTTACACCAAATCTCAGATACGAACAGTATTCGTGAAGTTTTCTCGCTTTAAATGGGCTTTTCTCTTTCACACGCTCTGGTAGATAACAGAGGTGATTGTTTAGGTACTTGTAACTTGTAAGGCTACATCAATATCGGCTTTTCGGTAGGAAATGGATTATTTGATATGCCTAATTAGAGATGGGGCATTGTACTTACACTCGTAATTCAAAAACGAATACATGCAGAGATTTTGTCGTTCGTTTTACAATAGTAAGCGTGGTACCCGTTTATTTCGCTTATATGGAGACCAGAATAGCTTTGACGTTGTATTGTTATGCTTATATTCTAAACGCGGGGCTCCTGGGCTGTGATCATAGAGTTATAGTTCTCTTTATTAGCACTGGAAAGATAACTTACTGAACTTGTTTGTCCAGTGTAGGTAGTGTTCTACAATAAGCTGTCGTGGTTTGTGTCTGAACTACCTGAAAAAGATATCTCAAACGTGGTGGTCCAGTGTAGGTAGTATTCTACAATAAGCTGCCGTGGTTTGTGTCTGAACTACCTGAGAAAGATATCTCAAACGTGGTGGTTCAGTGTAGGTAGTATTCTACAATAAGCTGTCGTGGTTTGTGTTTGAACTACCTGAGAAAGGTATCTCAAACGTGGTGGTCCAGTGTAGGCAGTATTCCACAGTAAGCTGTTGTGGTTCGTGTCTAAACTTTGACCTGATCTGAAAATATCTTGATATGCCCCAAACTAAATGGTCTGGTGTAGGTTGTATTCTCATGTCTAAATATAGACCATCAGTGAAATCGATCAGTATAAAGATTAAGATTATATAAAGATTAAAATACAGGATTGAAAGATTTGCGACTGTGGTTCATGATTGCATTCAATAATGAAAGAAATGTTGATGGTGTAAACTATAAGGACAGATGGAGTTTTACCATCTTAATTTGCTCAGTCAGACACAACTAAAGTAGCTTCCGTTGTGAAAAAAGTTAGGTGTCACACCCCCTCCTACACAAGCGCACTGGTACGTTACGTATGGCAGGTCGGTCTCTCTGTTCTGCCCATTCACTGACCGGACAAAACTGGCAGAGGTTTGTTTCAAACTGCATGGCTTCAGTCGTTTGAGGCGAATAAACGAGAGTCAGATACTTCGTGTGTTTCAAAGCCTTGTTGCATGCATCCACAGCACCTTAATTATCGGGTTTAATTTAGTTAATTACCAGTCATGTGCACGAGTTTTTAATTAATTGAAAAATCAGACGTTGGCATTGTCCTCAGACCGCGTCGCCCTTTAAAAACATTTAATCAATTTTATTTGAACAAGGAAACAGAAATTTCCGCCGTGATTAGGCAAATAGAATGAGTTTTATTAAAACAATCATGCAATATTATGTGACATTTAACTTGGTAGTCTGCGGTTGAGCTATATCACATGAGTGGCCCTTGAGGGATGGTTGTTGTCGGCAACTGAACACAGGGTGGCCACTTAGTTTAGGCTTGGCAAAGTACATCACCAGAAATTGGCGTCTTCTTCTAATCAATGTCTTAAATCTCATCTTTTCTTGTCAGGCGACTAAAACACAAACAACACATGTTCTTAATTTCAGAATACAAGTTCACACCAGCTGATATGGTCAGACACGTTTGAGAATTGAGATATCTTTCTCAGGTCCTACACTGGACCACCACGTTTGAGATATCTTTTTCAGATAGTTCAGACACAAACCACGACAGATTATTGTAGAATACTACCTACACTGGACCACCACGTTTGAGATATCTTTCTCAGGTAGTTCAGACACAAACCACGACAGATTATTAGTAGAATACTACCTACACTGGACCACCGCGTTTGTGATATTTTTCTCAGGTAGTTCAGACACAAACCACGACAGCTTATTGTAGAATACTACCTACACTGGACCACCGCGTTTGAGATATTTTTTTCAGGTAGTTCAGACACAAACCACGACAGCTTATTATAAAACACTACCTACACTGGGCCACCACGTTTGAGATTTTTTTTCAGGTAGTTCAGACACAAACCACGACAGCTTATTATAGAACACTACCTACACTGGGCCACCTGGTTTGATTTTTCTTGAATTTCTTTCAATTCAATTTTTTTCAACTTCAAGAGATTCCCTTCTTAGTACACCCCCCCTAAGTTTCGCACCCGAACACAAGAGCCAATTACAAAAATTTCTTTCCTTAAGCGAAGTGAAGACCCGACTTGTTGATAAGATTACGTTTTCTCCCACAGAGCGTTGCAAAAAAGCTGCGGGTATGCGGGTACCACCCGGAGGAAGATTTGCTTTGAATGAGGTTTGTGAGGAAGGTTCAAAGTTGAACACTCAATTGATCACATGCATGTACCAAAAACCCAAATATATCTTTACGCTGGTTGCCACTTGACTCAGTGAGGTAACGTCTTTTTGAGGAAGGTTTTTTTGAGGAAGGTTTTTTTGAGGAAGGAATCCTACCCGAGAAAGGTTGAACTCTTTTTGCAACTCCATCTCCGATAGTTCTTTTTGGAAAGAACGTAACTCTTGCAAAGAAACTACTCGTTACTAAATCTTTGTCCGTATATAATAATTACATTTGCGCATCGGCGTAATCAAAAGTCTTGTTTTAATTAAATCTATTTTTTCCGATTTCAAAAAATGTGACAGATTTCGAAAACATGTTTAGAAAACGTCTCGAAACTACTTTGAGAAACAAGATCATCGTTTAATCCTTGACACGCCAATTCTCTCTGCAAGAGAGGATGAAAATACATCATCAGACATTATCAGGTCATGAACTTTTTGACCGCGCGATTCGGACAAAAAATAAACAAGCAAGTGCAAGCTGCTACACAGGTGAGGTGAATTACAATGGGTTGTCATCGTACGTTTCATCATTTCAAAAATCCTCACACAAAAGAAGGAAGTGTGAAGAAAGTTCTTATCATTTGCCCAGACGAACGGAAACTCGAGCATAAATAATACCACAGGTGAACTTAGATGACAATCAGAGCTTATCTTTGCCCGATTTTTTTCACCCCCGGTACGGTCGATCCGCTCATAAACACTTATATTATATTCATCTATTAATATGCATATTGTATCTTAATTACTTATGTCATTGTTCTGTATTGATGAAGTGCTTTCATTCATACAAACAAATACTTGGTCATTACTCTCCCTGAGACACAGGTCAATTTTGCATAGCACATCCGAGCGAGTGGATATTAGCATTAAAAGCTACATCCTTCCAGCACTTATTGTTTTGTCTTCGAAGCGGAGTTCACAGTCATCAGGACAAGCTAGTCTTACCGTGTCCGTTCTCGTCAAAGTTCTGCCAGTACCAGAATCTTTTACGAACTTGAGTTAACTGAGAAAAGCGTGCTGCCTGAGTCGATTAAGTATGGCTGAACCATTGGCAAAAGAGGAGATCATAGATTTTGTCGAACCGAATGAAACCAAGAGAAAATCTGAAAGGTAACACGCGCCTTAACTTGATATTATGCCTCTCTTTGAGAAAAAGTCAGTTGGATCAACTTACATGCATGGGCATCTATCAGTATTAGCTCTCTATAAAAGTACAATGTATTACGATTAATTGTACAGCATATAAATAGTTCGCCAGCCTTCTTCAACCTGGGGGGATTCTCTCTGTGGTAAACTTTATAAACACATATGATATGTATAAAGATATAACTGTTCTTGTTTGCATGGTCAAATTCAACTGTGTGTGTTTTTTTTTATTACGCTGTTTTACCATCGATATCTGCGATTTTTAACTGGTCATGTATATTCACTTGAGGAAACCATCCCTGAGGCAAACTAGCTGTACGTAAAGAAATAAAACTACCTTTACCATAACCGAAAATTCGCTGCTTGTGTTTCTTCACATGAGCCCTGGTCCGTTCGTAGTGCACCAGGCACATGCATAAAATATAGTTTACACATTGCAAAACAAAGCAACAGCGCATGCATGACCAGATTTAATAGCGTTTATATTACATACGCCTCCCGTCAAAGCAGTTGTTATGATGGATTTTTTTCAATTATCACCAGTAAAAGCAATGTCGAGCCTAAAAGGAATTCCGTTTGGTGGCGCTGAATGAACTCATAGAGTTCACGTAGTTTATGCCACCAAACATATCGTATAAATATAGTTGTGTCTGTGACTAAACGGTTCAAAAGGTTACGAAGTCGAAGGCTTTATTCGCATTGTTTGGCGTTGAAAATCGGTTAAGAAAAAGAGATTGTTCTGGGATAAATAGACGTTCCAGGTTCCTGTCGGTTCTTCAATTCAAAACAGAAACTCGAAAAGTATAGACCTGGATTTCCCAGTGAGCTACGAACAGCTGCAAATGTTTTAGGATTTGAATCCGTATATAAAATAGAAGCTATAGGTTATATATATAGTAACTAGATCAATTGTTTGTCCATATGCTTAGTATAGCATTGCCAAACACAGAAAAACCATCTTAATCTAGAAGTAAGCTTTCTATTGTCTATAGATCTGCAGATGGGCAACCAGCCCAGAGTATGAAATACAATTTTCATCTACTATGTTCCATTATACAATTACGGTATTTCCTAATATTTACTCTTTGTCATCCTATCGTGATATTGTGACTGCTTATAGGCAAGGAATGCTTGTAAACCGATTAATCAGAATTTTCATGTTTGTGGCTGACCACAGGAAAACTATTTCTGGAAGACGAGTTGGCATGGCATTCAATCGTAATTGTTCTGTTTTTTTCTACCATGCAATGTTATGCAATGGAATATTTAAATTTACCGTCAAGCCCGCAAGGCATTAAAGTAAATAATGCGAATAAAATGTAAACACTTTACAGTTTGACTTCATTTTTCTTCCGTAATTATAAATCTCTTTGTTGACTTAACTTTCCACGCAAGCAAATGAATTTCTCCTGGCAACAGGGTGAAAAATCACCACAAATATCGTGGTTAAAACCGTCGACACAATCTACTTTTAAGGGAATCAATTATCTTTTATATCGAAATCTATAATATCAAAGAATATCTATTCTTATAACTCATAAATTATGCCTAAATATCTGAGCAAAAGCAGGACATAGAACTGATCAAACAAAACTGACGAACTAATACGTTTTGGCTTTTAAAATATAATGAATCTTTCGCAATACATTAAAAATTATAAATATTAATTTTGTTAAAAGAAGTTCTTACTCTTTGTATGACAGTTATTTATACAAATGCCATAGAAATATACCATTCATTGTAAATATTTTAAAATAGTCATGACGTTTCAGTGCAGGCTGGAGTGTTTATAGACTTAAATATATGGAGGAGCCATGATATTCATAAACTTCCTCATAATAATATTTTGAGTGGTCGTTGGGTTTTATATTTCTCCTTGAGTAGAGATTTTCACGAGTTGAATTGACCACACTAAGATCATATTGCATGCGAATACGGAGAAAAAAACCAGACATTGTTTTTAAATTTTCTACCAAAATATTATACGTGTTTAGATAAGGCTTTTCCTATTTTGTTTGCCCTCCTGTGGGTAACAAGGAACCTCTAAATGCATGTCGAGAAACAAAACTAGCAGTAGCATTGATTAAAATTATTTGAACCTTTTCCAGCTTCTAGCTAGACGTACACCTACATTGGTGATGGTTGTCGCGTGTTTCAAATCTTTATAGACATTCTTTGTTCCCACAAAAAATCTAAGACAGTTTTTGACAATGGTGCCAAAGAAATTGGTTTTAATTTCCTCAAAGAAGAATATGTGTTTTTAGTTCCATTTCTTATATTGAGTATATTATGTTCAGGTTGTATACCTCAATCGGATAACGTTTTCAACTGATATACGCTAATTGCAGATGGGCTATATCGATATATAAAGTTTAATTCAGTGTTATATGCAAATTATTTGCTGTGAAGTTGCTACTTGACCAGTGTTGAGAACTCCTTGAGTATTAGACAAATTGTTATTGTTGTAAGGCTCCAATATCCCAGGAAACGGGCTTGTTGTTCTTTTCACTTGAGCTTCCCTTGCGTGAGTTGACGAGACAAAATGCTTGTAGCTCATACGTGTCTAAACAACTTTGGATCAGATGTGGAATAACAACTGTCTTTTAGCCCAATTTATACTACATTTTTTACAACAATATAAAGCTCACATTTCACTCGATGCTGTTATAGCTCTTTATCGACTCACTTGTTGGTCGAATGACCAAATCTTTGCAATCGTTCAAACCGCCATAGTTTCGGATGCAAATGAATTTTTTTCGATTTAAGTCAAAAACGTTGTCTCTGCTTCGTCATTTGACTTGTTGAACACTTAAATTTGGTCTGTATATTTTCGAGTATTTCTAAAAAAACTAAAACTTCCTGACTAACGTTGCATGAGCAGATAAGACTAATACTATACTATAGTATAATACTATAATAGGATAAAATTTATTGCTAAAACGAAAATATATATAGATAATATCATACTCGACAGAAAATATTTTGCCAATTTATATAAAAGACTTGTTAACTTTTAACTGTACTCATGTATTTTTGAGTTAACTAGGATTTAAATATGCAAAATGTAGTTAAGGGGTTTTACACAACCGGACCTTGTTTTAACTTTGCTTGTCTCAGTGACATTATAAGTAACATATGTGGTATTCTAACAAACAATAATTCTAAGAAACCAGCATGGATTTTTTTTTAAATTTTTGGGATTTGTTTACGTAAAAACTAAAAGGAACAGTGTCAACGTGACTGAAGTTATTTACGTATTGCCGTTGGCACGTACGTATAACTTAGCTTTGCCGCCGTTATTCCAATATCGCGTGCAGGAAACTAATTGCCACGTTTCAAAGTCGTTTTTAAACCGGCGGCTCAATTATCGTTCTGACGTTATATGACGTTTTGTTGTTCGGCCAAAGTTGCCAAACCGCTGAATATTTTCTCTTCAATTTCGACAAAAATAGATGAAAAATACCTTAGACACGACCGTAATTTAGGGCTGTTCACAAAATTAAAATTCCTCAAACAATGCTTATGTTTCCTACATTCCAAGATTACGTGTTAGGTTTTGTTTTGCTCCAACTCTACTCTCGCCTCTAGAACTCATTTTGAACTGCATTGCATAAACAAATGTGGGCGGTAGTTTTTAGCATATATTTAAGAGGTCTTTTGAGGCATATTATCGGAGCTTCTGGAGTGTTGTCATTCACTGCTTGAAAAACGACCAAAATTTTTCTATTTACTAATGCATCGAAACTATATAACACAAACCCTTCCACGTAAAGATAGCTGCAAATATAATCTACCAAACAAGTTTCGTTTAATTTTGAACAGTCGCGTTATACCACAGAGGTGACAGTTTATTGGCCCGTAATTTGACCTTAAACGTTTCTACCAATCTACATGATTGACTCTGAATTCAGAGCAATTACCACAATGCCTAACCGCACTGACCTTCGGAAATGAATCATGGCCAATTAATCCAGTTAGCAATAACGAAGTATTTAAAAGAGTATCTCGTGACATTGCAAATGTATTGTATGTATAAATGTAATTTGCATTTTTTCCATTGAGACTAAAATGTCACCTGTGTGCCCCTGTGCAATATCTTTGTATATTGCTGATTCATTGATAGAGTAATTAATCGATATTGCCCATGCAATGTTGTGTGTATGATATTCAAATGAAAACACTGGTTATTGCTATGATATTTATGTTGACTTGTCACAACAAACCAATATAACCTCCGTCAAAATTACTCAGCCATGCACGGGTGCTAATGAGAGCAGGTGTGGTGTATGGTCAAAGATTCTTATTTTATGCAATAGTTCCCAATTATGGAAGTCTAACAAGTTTTGAATATCGCGATTAACAAGATGTTTACAGGAATTGCAAAATACAATGCAACTTTCAGTTCAAATATTATACAAAGGCCAATTAAGTATATCCTAGTATCGATTGTGTGTGTTTCAACTCCGCTTGAAGCAGTTATATATTGCTAATTTATAAATTTTGTAATTCTTATATCTTCTTTCAAAAGAGTTTGCAGACTCTGTGAGCGTAGTTTGATTTCTGGCGTTTCCTAATGCTCTGTGATTGGTAAGATTTCGGTGATTCCAAAGTCCATGCAGATCAAACAGAAAAACAGAAGAAGTTCTGACTGACAAGTTCGCTTAATTAAAACACACAGCTTTAATTTTGGCGTGGGTTCATCATCGAGTGGTTATTGTCCACTGAATTAGCACCGATCTTTGCTAACCGCATTCTTGAGGATTAAGATATTGTTTAATATTTAGAATCAAACCAACCAACATTGGAACCTGAAATATCGAAAAGTAATGAAAAGTCCATATTTTGGGGCTTCAACCTAAAATGCACTTTTGCTCTTATTTTCTCTATACATAAGGTATATGAATCGACCCGGCGAGTGCTAACAATTTCCATCGTCTAAAGGGCGAGTGATATATGAGGTTAACGAAAACTGTTTATCCCTGAGTCTGTTCTATGACTTCTTGTGCATAAGTTCAAAGAGCCTTTTCTCATGCAAAGTAGTTTTTTTCTCCTGATCATTACCTTGTCAGTCACCAGTTCATATGAGATAACATCTTGATACTTGATGGTTGCTTACAAGTGCTTCTCTGATGAAAGCGCACGCGCCGTCTTATTGGTTGAAATTGCTCTTTCGGGACTCCAGCTTATTCTTAGCGTAAGGAGTTGAAGAGGGCTTTGAGAATGATTTGACGTCGGAAATTTCTAGTCAGATTCTCAGAGAAATCTAAAAAGATCTCTGCAAGACCTCTCCTTGACCATTGTTTAATCTGAAAAACGTGAAACATGCAATTGTATGACAGATAATTAACACCATTCATCATTCAATATAGTGTGTTGTTATCTGAATATCAAATCGTCGACGAGCGGTACAAATTCATAGAAATAATAAACCTAGTCTATATTTTGGTCTATTCGCGTTAAACTGGCCAAATAATAAGCAAGTTCAGCGAATAGTTTCTTGAAGAATGGGTAATCTCTGCAACATAATTTAGCAGTTGAGGTGCGTGCTAGAGCTGACCATGATGTACTTAAGCTAAGCCTCTTAATCAAATCGCGTTTAGGAAGATCTCTGCTGGAGATTTTCATCCTGCGAGGGCACATGCGTAAAATCTTTGTAAAAAGACCATAATTTCTTGTCGGAGGTCCAATTTTGGGCAAAACTCATTATTCAACGTCAAGAATGAAGACTTCGTTAGGAGTTCGCTTTGCATGGCTATCCATTTTACATGCATGGGTTGTTTGATTACAAATTCTCACAAACAAAGATCTCAAACGTGATTTTTTTATCTTCAGAAAGTCTGGTACCAAAACATTGCTGATCTATATAATAGCTGGAGTTTTGGTGCTAGCTATACTTGGCCTCGTTTTGGGCCTGTTATTTGGCCTCGGTGATGAGGAAACGACACAGGAAACAATCGTTCCCAGACCGCAACGTTCTCAATGCAGGATTGGGGGAGAATTCCAGAATTTCTCCGTCGCTTCAGACACATCCGTCTGCTCGGAAATCGGCTGTCGTATTCTTGAAAAGAAAGGTGCGCCATATATGCCTAGATATAATTCTCCTATCTCCCATATATCACATATGTAGCGTTTATTGATAGTCCACCATTTGAATTTGATCTGTGTTAGTCTTATAAAGTTTTCACTAAACCACAAGGCCATAATTCTTAACAGATCCAACAGTTCCACAGGAAAGACAAAACAAGAAAATTGATTATGTTTAAATTGTTTTTATATTTCTTGTCTTCTTCATGCTTTTGTCGAAATAAAAAGCAGGTTTAAGGAGCTGTTCACATGATCCCGGTTACCGAGATTTAACGAATCGTAAAACAGATTTTGAGGTATTGAAATGAGTAAATAACACGATTCTGGTAGTCGTATTATCATCCTAACAATAGCATGTGATTGTTTTGTTTCAAAAAGACTTTTTTCAATACCACAAAGTCCATTTTACGCGTCGTTAAATCTCGGTAACCGTCTTATGTGAAAATGTCCTTTTGTGGAATTTAATATTTACTTTTTGCATTCACTAAAAGACGAATGAAATCGTCGAGCGCCAGGCAGAGCGAAGCCGCGGCTGTATAACTGTTTTAATAACTTGTATGACGAGGTTCTTGATTTCCGATCAGGATCTGCTGTTGATGCCGCCATTGCAGCCATGTTTTGTATCAGTGTTGTGACAATGCACTCGAGTGGGATTGGTGGAGGAAACTTCATGTTGGTTTATGAAAAGAAGACGAAAAAGGCCTTTTTTATTAACGCCAGAGAAAAAGCTCCCGCAGCTGCTCGCGAGAACATGTATGTGAACAGTTCAAAAGATTCTAAAACAGGTTGGTAAAGGGTTTTTTATACTAATCGCCTTTTAAGGCTAGTTTCCACTCAGGAAAATTCTCCTTTGGATCGGACAGGACAGGAAAGTTTCCTTTATGTAAACGCCGCCTGAGAACTCACCGACAAAGGAAATTTTCCTGTTCGTTCCGATCCAAAAGAGATTTTTCCTGAGTGGAAACTATTCAAACTAACCTTTGATGTACTAATCGCAAAGTGCATTAACACTATGAAACAGTGTTTCATAACTAGTCCTGTTTATTGAAGATGGACAAACCTGGAAACATTGTTTCCTGAGGTTTGATAAACAAGGAAATAGTTTAAGCCATGTTTTTCGCAGTTTTTAACAAAGTCTTCTGATCAATTCTATATTCATTCTTCTTATGTAAGGTCCCTTATCAGCTGGGGTACCAGGTGAGGTGAAAGGTTTCATAAAAGCTCATCAAAAGTTCGGCAAATTGAAATGGCGTGATCTTGTTGAGCCTTCAGTCAAACTGGCCAGTGAAGGATTTAAAGTGACATCGGCTCTAGAGCGAGCCATAGAAAAATCGTATGCTAATATAACTGACCCTGAATTCAGGTATGTGTAACATTTGTTTGAACCTGTCGATATACAAAATAAATGCACACTAAGGTGAATTTATTCCGTGTGACAGTCAGTCATAGTAAAGTACAGTTTCTTGTAAATGTCTGTTCTTTATTTGTTAGAAGCCAATTTACTTAGCTATGTAACCCTATATAACCTTCTTCAAAGAGTAACACACATGCACAGTCTTGCCCGTTAATGTATTTACTAACAGTCTTGCCAATTCATTGGTTAGAAATCATACCAGCTTCTCAAACAAAATTAAACTAAAACGACTTGTTGAAACTTACTATTCGCTGAGCTAAGCTGATGGTTTGTTTTGCAACTTAAATGTTCAGAAAACTATTGACAAACGAGGACGGAAAATTAAAGAAAACAGGTGATACAATAGTGAATCCAGTGTTAGCGGTGACCCTGAAGATGATACAGCAAGATCCGGAGTCGTTTTATTCTGGAGAGCTAGCCAAGAGAATTGCTGCAGATTTTCAAGACAACAGAGGTATCATTACTGAAGAGGATTTGAGAAGCTATGACGTGAAGGTGGCGGAAAAGACCTTGAAGTTGGACCTGGATGATATCACTATGTTGTCTTGTCCTCTTCCGTCCGGAGGACCTGTGGTTACACAAATAATGAACATCCTACAGAGTAAGTAACCAAGTTTCGTTACATTCCCATCCATCCAGGCTGATAAAATATTTGTATCGCGGTCAATAGCTACAAGTTTGGGCAATTGAGTCCCACACATTCTGTATTTTTGAACCGTACAAATTATTGACTCAGTATTATTTATTTAACTCCCCAGACTACAAATTTAACAGCAAGAGCATAGCGGATACGGAAAGTAAGATTTTGACTTACCATCGTATTGTTGAAGCAATGAAATTTGCTTACGCCAGACGACCAATCTTTGGCGATCCTGAATTTGTTGACGACGACAACGTGAGTTTCCCAGAAGATTTTATTATGTGACGTTTCTCGATCTTTGGGGGTAGGGGAGAGGAGGGGAAGGAGAGAGGAGGGGAGGGAGAGGAGGAGAAGGGAGAAGAGGAGAAGGGAGAGAATGGAGGAGGGAGTGGAGGGGAGAGGAGGGGAGGGGAGGGAAGAGGAGGGAAGAGGATGGGAGAGGATGGGAGAGGAGGGGAAGGAGGAGAGAGGAGGGAAGGGAGAGGAGGGGAAGGGAGAGGAGGAGAAGGGAGAGGAGGGGAGAGGAGGGGAGTGGAGGGGAGAGGAGAGGAGGAGAGAGGAGGGGAGAGGAGGGGAGGGAAGTGGAGAGGAGGGGAGGGGAGTGGAAGGGAGAGGAGGGGAGAGGAGGGGAAGGGAGAGGAAGGGGTATACATAGTTAGCTATGGGTTATATCCTTTAGGAGATCTTTCTTCAAATTCACTGACGGTGTATTTGGAATTAATTCTGTAGTTAACAAAAGCTATGAAAGAAGTGTTGGATGTCGAGTTTAACAAGAAGCTTTTCAAGAATATCACTGACGATTCAACACACAATATCTCCTATTACAGCGGAGAAGAATACATTAAAGACGAAGGAAGTACAAGCCATTTATCTGTTGTTGCACCTAATGGCGATGCAGTGTCGGTAACTGCCTCAATAAATTACTAGTAAGTGGCAACTTTAGAAGATTTTAAACGCGTCGTTCTAACGCTGTTCGCTCAAATCTTGTTTGTGCACACTTAATAGCTAATGGAGTAATGCTTATTCCAACACATCTCCTGCTATTAACATTTAAAGCCTCGAAATAATTGGGGACTGAATTTTGAATAAATAGAAGTCTGACATGCCTTATCCTTTAGTTTTGGTGGAAAATATCGTTCCAAAGACACGGGCATCGTGTATAACAATGAGATGGACGACTTTTCCACTCCTAAGCAACAAAATGGCTATAATTACCCACCGGCAAAAAATAACTTTATCCAACCGGGTAAACGACCTCTGTCGTCCATGAGTCCAACAATTTTTGTGGACAAGAAGACGGGTGACGTGAGGTTGGTCGTCGGCGCTGCCGGAGGCTCGAAGATTATTTCTTCCACAGCTTGGGTGAGTTGATATTTCGTATGTAATTACAAGCTTGGAAACACCCTGGTTCCGAAGGCTCGATAAAATCGCTTGCGATTTTCTTCTTTTGAAAGATGTGAACGAGTAATAAGTTACGAATGCTCTGATGTGTAAGAGCTCCTATTTGAACATCCGTAACCAATTCACTCGTTCACATCTATCAAAAGGAGAAAATCGCAGCAAGAATTGCAAGTGTAAACGGGTCTTAAGAGACTGTTTTTATAATATGATTTTATAATTAATTTGGCTGGAACTGAAATTTCCCCACATGTTGTTATTGTCAGGTGTCGATGATGAATCTATGGATGGGAATGTCCTTGGAAGATGCCGTTGCAGTCCCACGTTTGCATCATCAGTTAATTCCTAACATCATTACTATCTACAAGAACAAGCGCTTTAAATTACCCGACATCATACGAAAAGGTCTGCAAGAAAAGGGTCATAAATTTCAGGAAAAACCCTCCTTTTCGGTTGTTCAAGCCGTGGCGTACAACAGGAAACTGGACAAGAAAGAAGGCACCGTTTACGCTGTATCGGATCCCAGGAAAGGCGGTTCAGGCTGGGGAATATAGCTCTGTATATAATATGGATGGTTTGGACGTCAAACAAACGCTATGAAGTATGAACTCTAGGATATGTCTGCGAGACTAACATAATATCTGGTGTCTAACTTATATAGAGCTCCCTTTTCGAGACGATCACAATCAGTTGACTGGACTTATTTTGTGTTAAAATCCATATCTTACTAAGCCCAAACTATATACACACACACACACACAGGAATAAAACACAGTTCGCGATATTACGCATGCGCATTCATCGTATGGCAAACATTCCATGTATTCTTCCACAGTTTGGAGACCGTGACTTTTCTTCGCCTCGCCAGATATTTGTAGAAATTCTTGTATATATTTGAAGTGTATTAGCGTGTCTAGGCGTTTGAGCAACTATTTCTGAACCTCTCATTTTTACTGTATATTTTTTTATATGTAGAAAGTGATATTTCACGAAACACGTTGTACTTTAATTAAACTTGCCTCAAAATCGCACCTTGAATTGACTTATAGTTGTAGTTTAACACTCAATATTTTAAACCGCTAGCCAGATTTCCGCGCAGTAATTAAAGAAAGGCTTGCAAAACAACAGGTGCCATTTTGGCAATCCAGGCAACCATAATGTACTTTTAACGGGCCTGCATATAAAAGAATCACAGAACACACGGTATAATCTTTTAAAGTTTGCAATAACATCACAAATTTCTACAACGGTGTTTAACACGATATCAGTACAATTTCATTTAACACAGATAGAATTACCCTAACTACTTCGATTAACAAAATAACAGGTAAATTTTTTTTGCCTAGTTCCACCCGCTCGCCACAGCGAGACTTGAAACGCGCGATTACAATTTGCATATTTTGCGATTTGTTTATTGAACTGACAAAGCATTCTGCATCAGACCAGATTCCACTGAGAATACTGGTTAAACGAAGTCGAAAGGAAATCAGCCCGCGTTCGCTTGCAGGTGAAATTAGATATTTTTGACAGTGAGTATTGTCTTGTAGACTAAATAACGGAAAGACATAACATCGCAAATCTTATAACATAATAAATTAATTCGTTTAACTTTTAATATTCTTCTACACAAAGGATAGACCTCGTTTGCCGATAGAACAACATATTTTAGGGTCCATCGAACTGTTTTATGTTCGGCACAAGGACAGAGGGTCGGAATGAAGTTCAAAATAGTCTAAATAGGTGTGCAATAGGTGAGGTACAACCTTCATGCTTGCGCGTGCATCATTCCAACCCCCTTGACAAAAGTACTATAACATGCAAACAATTTTACGGTATAGACGAATTAAGGACGAACACGATTACCATTTGCTAGCACCTAAAATGACGAACTTCGGTTCGTCCGCATAGTTCAAACTAATCATCTGTCGACTGGACAAAATATATCTTTAGAAGAATCTGAATGCATCTATAGGGTTGTTCTATTCAATAAGATCTCATCAAGAACTAACTAAATTTTATTCTGATTACATATAACCTATGTTATACACCCTTACAGGGCTATATGAAAGGTAATATTGAGCTAGGCTCGACTCCGTATGGAAAACGTTCGTGTTTCATTGTGGGTAGGGGGATTTCCTCTTCTAGTTTTGGGGGGGGGAGGGGTTCTTTCATATAACCCGGTGTTACATTCTTTGCAGGGCATTAAATTGAGCCACATACTCTAAATGGGAGGTTGGCGCATTATTAAAGTTCCCTCTCGGATCTTGACGTGAATCGCCGTAACCTTGAACGTGGTGGGGAGGTTTTAGTTTTTCTGAGGGGGTGTACCTCTTGTGGCTGTACACCGCCCCTTTCGGGCGACCACGTTTTTCGGGCTTTGGGACATCTTCGAATTCGTGATGCAAGCCGTTGTCTTGGAAACCATGGCGAACCATCTTGCTTTGGTGCGTGCGTTTGTGGGACTTCAACTGACTGAGCTGAGTAAATCGCTTGTTGCATATTTCACAACAGTAGGGCTTCTCACCTGTGTGTAGCCTCACGTGCTGATTGAGTTGACTCGCTTGCGTGAATGCTTTCCCACAGTCGTTGCACTTGTACGGTTTCTCTCCTAAGAAAGAACAGCCTGGTTTACAACAAACATAGAGTGATATCGAGATACACCTACCCCACCCCCTCCCCCCACAGGATGTTGGCATTTATTAATGACGTTTTGATGACGTCTTGATGGCGTCTTGATGACGTCTTGATGGCGTCATGATGACGCCTTGTACGCGTCAAATATCATCAAAGTACATTGGACACGGTCCAGGAAATGCCTCGTGTCGATGCCAATTGCATCGAAATCTTCCTTTACTAAACTCCCTCAAGCAATGCTTATAGTACGCAGCTGTCGGTCCAGTGCACGCTGAATTCACTGCTAGACAGACATGCAAGCACGTGATTGAAGTGTGAGTAAATAACTACCATACCCGTGTGAATCCGTCTATGCTGCTTTAACTGGCAAACTTGTTGAAAGCTTTTTCGGCAAATATCACACATGTATCTTTTTCTGGTTTCAGCTCTCACGGGAATCTCTTTTTCCCTTTGTCTGTACATGTCAGATGACGGCACTGCTGGAATGCTGTATGGTGAGAGTTTCTCCATTTCACGTTCTTTCAAGCTTGGTCCCAGATCCTTGCCGTTGAAGAGCATGTTCGACAAGTGGGTTGGCTGGGTTCTCTCCTGACGTTCTAAAACGAACAGAAGAACATCCTTGTCATCCAAACTCCTGGAGGATCATACGTGAACTAACATTATTGTTCAATGTTCGTCACTTTACTTATACTGGATAGTTCTATCAGTTCTAAACTGTTCTTCCTATAGGTCCAGTTAGGATCATCTTTTATTGATCCAGTGTTACTACAGGAGGAAACCTAAACTAAACTAACTTTATTTATACTGGATAGCTCTATCAGTTCTAAACTGTTCTTCCTAGAGGTCCAGTAAGGATCATCTCTTATTGATCCAGTGTTACTACAAGAGGAAACCTAAACTAAACTAACTTTATTTATACTGGATAGCTCTATCAGTTCTAAACTGTTCTTCCTAGAGGTCCAGTAAGGATCATCTCTTATTGATCCAGTATTACTACAGGTGGAAACCTAAACTAAACTAACTTTATTTATACTGGAGCAGTAGTTCTATCAGTTCTATAAGTCATTCTTCCAGTAAGCGGGTTTCTGAAAAACCAAGTGTAGCAGGAAGGGACTTTATAAAGAATGCATACAAATTCGTACGGTTCAAAATGCTAGCTGGTATTCATCAAAGTTACCGTATTAGATTAATATACGAAATCAAGTACTCACTCACCCATTTTGTCCCCGATGTACATGTTATGATGCAGGTGGCTATGATGGATATTATGACTATGCCCCAGTTCTCTGCTTGGACAAAAGCATGTCGTTCTATATCTCTCACTAATCTTCGTAGCATCGTCTTCGTTGGAGCGGTCAAGGTAAATCATTGTTGGGCGACTGTAATCCACCATGCTAGAGCTTTAACACAACGCTCATAATCTATGAAGGAAATCGAAAACTGTTTTTAATATTTCAGCTTTTACCTTCGAAAGCCTTACACGAAAGAAAGGTGAAGCTCAGACTGACCAGCGCTAAGCCGGTCATTAATATATAGGCGTGCGCAAGGCTAATCCCATTTGCTGCGCTAATGCATTATCTTCGCCAATCACATGCAGAGCAGGACAGTCGCGTGCAATATTAACGACTAAACTCATAAACATTTTTTGCGCAACACCATTATTGTGGGAGCTTTAAGCGCCATTTTTGTTCCGCTTGTCAAGGTCATTGCTTGTCAATGCATATAACGTCCAAAAAGCAGACTCACATTCAAAGAAACTCGTCGAAACAATGACGTTTATTTCGTTCCGTTAAGTTTCCAGCGTGTTAAACCTACTGTACTCGCGTGATTTCAAGAAAACGACCTATATTATGACGTACATATTCTGACAATAAAGTATTTGCGGCAATATCAGGTTCTTTAATTGAAACCGACAAATTATTAAATCGAAATGTTTTGTTACAGTTTTCGTCAAAGTAATTAGGCCATGTAATAAGAGCGCTCAAAATTCGATGTTTATTGATAATATTTCCGTTATAAATATAGCTCTCCAGCTCTCCCTCCCTCTGAAAAATTGCCTTTACGATTCAGAGACAAATTGCTTACACTTCATGTTGATGTTAGGTTAATGTTACAAGGACGTGTTTACAGTTCACGTGAGGTTCATTTAGACTAGCTCGTGTCAAACGAAATCTTAACCAATAATCACGTGCATTAACAACAATTTCTACCGCTGTAATTGTCTGTTTACATCAGACTCTTATGAAGGGATGTTCCTACCAATGAAGCCTGTAGGCTACTGAGTTTCATCTCTGTTGTTTTATAAATATCAGTCTTCTCAGTTGCAAAGCCAGCCAGCTCACCCGAAACCGACGTAGAATTAATGACTTTCCTATATACAACTGGGCCTAAGCCAGTTCAACTGGCTTATTACGACGTCCAGCATCATTGTTAACCTGGCAAAGTTTCGAATACCAACCAACACACGACTGAATATTTTTGTAGAGCGACATAATTAGGTCGAAAAAACTGCCGGCCAGTCCTTTGACTACATAAAGTATTTTCAGTCCTCCTGCATGGGCGAGACTTCGGGGGAGCTAATAGCAAGACCCAGCCTCGTAGACTGACCTCCTCTAATGTAGACGAAAAAGTTTTAAATATGGCTTTTTACTCGGGATTTAGTATGGATAGCATATACTACCAGTTGGCATTGACATTATATCTTGCATAAAGGTTTTTTTATCACAATAACACTCTACTTCGATAAAGACGGCATATATATAGCTACTCCTCTCATGAGCAAATTTATTTTTTCTGTGACACATAAAAAATCTAAACATGAATGTCATGATATTTTAAACACGGTAAAGACTGTCAATCTCGGTCTTGAAAACCCTGATTCACTGAAAAGATATGAAATGGACCTCTTGAACTTTTTATTATTCCTCCAAAGCGATGAATATCGGTACTTGGCGGTTGCTTTTTTAACTCCAAAACAGTCAGAGATGCTTATAGTGAAAATATGAAAGTGATTCAAATTTCTACGAGTCGGGCGGTATATAATATATATAAAGCGATATATATATAAAAGAATATCATCAATCAGTTTCCAAATTGTTTTCAGTACACAGGTGAATATATGTTTTAGGTAAATCAAGAGCTTCCTTCGTATAAAAAAATCTAGACCTGTTTACAATAACAGCAATGCATGAGAGTCTTATTGCACTGAACTATATGTTGCTATTTTTATAATGCGGATACACGCGCGACACATGCACGCGCAAAAAGGCTACATTCAGGAGCATTTTCAATAATAAACAAAACCAAAACCGCGACACGATGAAATCAAGGCACTTTTATACAGCAATAGTTAAATAGTCCGTGACGAGTTTGAGCGATTTCATGGCTATATATATATATGTATGTATATAACGCGTCCGTACACAGGCAACTAATTGAGTCTAATTCCACAGTCCTGTTAAAAATTGCACTAACACAGAGTTTGATATCAATGCATATAGGCATGCTTTTAATTATCCCGAGGCGACTCATCGGAAACTCGTCCTCTTTAATCGGTGGTGGCTTTTCGAAAGGGAACTAACGCCTTTAAAATTGTTATGGTAGAAGTTGAACTTATTCAGGGCGAATTTTTGCACCAAAATTACGTCCATCCAAAGTGCTTCAGGGCTGTATAGAAACAGTTGATAATCAACATGCTATATAACAGTGACAGACACACTAACAACAATTTCTCATTATCGGCTGGAAAATGGAAATTAACGACATATATCCATGCAGGACTATTAAGAGAATTTGAAAAGAAAAAAATATTCACCTGTCTTTTGTGCCGTGTAGCGTGTTATATAAAGGTGCAAGTACAGCACAGAACAGTAAAACTGAGATACATTTTTACTAAAGCTATATATTATATATATAAACAGTACAGTAAAACATACATGTTCTAATTCAAATTTAAACAATTTCTACAGTCAAAGACTCAAAGTCTTGTATAATGACAAAGTATGCGGCCATATTTGTACACCGACTATTTGGCGCCACTGCACGAGAAACAGTTTTGATGGCAACGTGTACGAAACATTTTCACACTTTCTAGTTTGAACCGAATTGTTCTCCAACTATCTACGTCGGAAAATGTGTTTAATTCGCTAAAAAGGATGGTGTTATCAGTTATAATACCCCCATTAAATCTAATTAATTGCTTTGCCTCACAACCGACTGCATTTACGATTTTCATGTCCGACTCACGAATCCACTGAGCTTAACATAGGATGCTTGTGAAACATGTTTGTTTGTGAAGTTTAAGTTCGAGAGATCTTGGGCGATTACCTGGGCGTAGAATGAACTATATACGTCAGTCGCGGCGACCTGCTTTTGCTGAGGTACTTGTTTCTCTTGTTCATACCAACGTTGCATAGGCAAGACTAAGCACATTAACTCGCTAAGTTGCGGTACTTGACTACAGACAGCTTGCTTTAAAATACATTAAGGAACAAAAATAGAGTCCGTATATTGGAATACGTTCATTGTGTTTGCTGTAAGAGCTTATATATACATACAATATCTCTATGAAATACGCCCGTATGCACTGTAGAGACGTTTCATTACCTCTTTAACGAACAACACGAGATCACGTCGTTCAAATGATATACACAGGTCATGCGAACTACATTTACAGATAAAATAAAACATCTTACTTGTTTCTTTAAAGTAGCGTTTTTTGAAGACAATACACGTTCAAATATATAATGTTTACACCAAGACAGGTATGGCACGGCTGAACGTCTTTGATGGATACTATCCGTGACTTATACTACTTCAAAACGAAAATAAATGGTTTGTTTTGGAACTCCACGAAGTCACATTGACTGGCCGTGGTATAAATGATAGCAATAAATGTTGTTGGAAAGTTTTACAAAAACGTTAAACGATATTCCGTCGCAAAATAAGTTGATTCATTGACCACTTGCCATGTTTGAAACGCAGCAAACTTGCCGAATTTCTTCCTTGAAAACTTCGGGAAATCTTAATGAAGCTCAGTGCTGATAAAAATGTAATTTGATACCCGAAAGCAAAGGGGCCCTGTGGTGCATGGGCAGACCTTTTAAGTGATAAAGACAAGAGTACGTATGGTTGATAAGCCCGATGAATGCAAGTAAGCCTGATAAAATGCGATATAAATACGCGAATTTTAAACATATCAGTTGATCAGGCAAATTTACGCTAGTATATATACCTTACTCTGCTCGCTTTCTCCATTCATACAAGCATCTGATCAATTTCACCAAAATACTTGGTGCAGTAAAATGCATTGAAGTATTCGCTCGCTTATAGAACAGTCTTCATTCAATCCTGCTTTTTCAAAGCGAACTCTCGACGATAAATATAAGCATCTAAGATTTGACACTTCTAAGGGTAATTCTGATACGTAGAATTAAAACTCCTGAACCGAACAGCAACTTTACGAAAAACCACTTTGGAATTAACAACAGAACGTATGCAGACGAAGATGGAAGTTCATATCTTGCGGGAAAAACCCCCGAATTTTTATATGGCGTTTCGCTGCATTCATCAGAGTTAGATGAACCTAATATTTCATAGACACATTGTACTTGACACACAAAAAATTATGGATAAAAATTTAACGTAAACAAAAAAATCGTATCTCACAATTGCCTATAATGGACCGCCTTGTTTGATAGACCTTATATTATATATATACAGGAAGATATTCAATTTGAATGCCTTTAAACTGTTCAGAACTGTTCATGTAGACTTGCTTCATGGAGTCCATGCTCCAAAGAGAAGCACAATTAACCGTAAATGATTTTCTCAGACGATTACCGTTCACTTTTGGTGTAAATATATTGCTGAATTCGAGCTTCAAGTAACGCGAGAGCACAATCCTTGATTCTACGAACTTTTCACATGCAGCTTGCTGCCTAGCTCACATCATATTTCCTCAAAACATTCCATCCAGCCATGCTTAAAAAGTAAGGAAAACCGTGGGTATATCTCATATATAAGACTGAGGAACTGCTACATATTATATTCACTGTCACTTCCTCAGGGTCCATTCTTTTTGTTGCTTAATTCTCGCCTTGCTTTGAACAAAACCGTATCTCTGAAGATGACGCAAACGTGTCATAATAAGAAATTTTTTGAACAGGAAATAAACTAGCTTTTAGGGCGGTTTTGCCAGCTGAAGTACTTCGCAGTTACTTCGAGTGTATGGGCCAATTTTTTGAAATTGATTTAATCTTTTTAGCCAAAAAATAAAAGTACAAAAAGTTTAAATACGCGGTGCTACGGCATAAAAAATACCACAACTAGTCAGCGGAATATCCTGTCGCTTATTTACCTTGACGCCTTTCGAGAAAATGCTCAAAGTCTTTAACGCACCGTAGGAGTCTTGAGTAATCGA